CAAAACAAAATGTGTTCACCTAAAACACCATGTCTAAATTTTAAAATAAATCTTTTACTTTCTTAAGTACTAAATATGCCTACATTGCATAAAGTACAGAACATTTTAAACCCACAACTTCAGTATAGATGGCAATTGCAAAGACTTAAATTGCCGTGCCTCATCAATTTAGAATGTCATGAGGTAAGATACACGTTTAACCATGCTGTGGTGTCTGACGATCGTCGCCCAGGTCTGGCTGTCACAAAAGAGGTTTCTGGGTGCTTTGTCAGCCATGGGAAGGAACCACCAAGCTGAGGCTAAGCTGGGGGAAAGCCTTGCATGACGGTCCTTGGACAGTGCTGGTAGTAACTTCAAAGTGAAAGCTAGTGTAAGCACTGGTTCATAATCCATACCCTTGGGTGAGACTTTTCTTCCCTCCCCTTAGAGACGGGGCTGAAACAAGAAGTTTTCTTACCTGGCCCTCTTTGTAGGAGGCCGCTTTACTGTTTTATATGGCCAGACCAGCACGCAAGGGTAACGGCTTGTCTTAAGTAGATACCGGATGCTTCTTTCCGTGTTTGCTTGTTGACAGTATGTGTTACGTTTTGTTTTCTTCTTCCCTTTACATCACACTGCGAACATTTTGGTACCCTGTAAAGGAAAGCTACATGCATTATTTTGGTGGCTGGTGTAATGTGCAAGTTGGATAATTTATGTCGCCATCTGTCACTGTTGGGGAGTAAAGCTCTTCCCCTTTCTGTTGTGTCTAAAGTTCTGACCAAATTTCACACTTACCATAAAGCTCTGTAACCTTCAGCCCTGCATACATACTAGGAGGGGTGTGAGAAAGACATCTCTAGCCCATACCCCAGGAGGGGTATGTCTCTCTAGCCCATACCCCAGGAGGGGTATGTCTCTCTAGCCCATGCCCCAGGAGGGGTATGTCTCTCTAGCCCATACCCCAGGAGCGGAAGCAGCTGTCAGGCAATAATAAAACGTGGGTTAGGGTAGACCATCAGCCGCCCGGCTCCTGGTGTGCTAAGTGGCTGACTGGATCCAAGGGCACTCTCTTCTTTTACTGTCTTGATTGTTATATGTTTGTGTTTTGTGATTGAATCTAATTTTTTTCCCAAAATATATGCTGTAAATTTGTGTTTCCTCTTTACAACATGCCTGTCCATTTAATGACTTAATCTTACCCAGTTTTGTTATGACATAAGACTGAACATTTTCCCACTGAATAGCTATTTGTGTGTACTTACAGAGTTACTCCTATAATTCCCGTGAGTACAATGCTAAATTACTACATTTGCTGACTATGCATTTCTAACCATTGTCTGTTTTTTACATTCCAACCACACTCATGGGAGACCCTGGAAGGTCTCGGTGTAGGAATGTCATGCTTCTATTTACTCTTTAGTGTAGGTGATCAAGGCAAATTCACTGGCTCCCTGTGATGAGCCTGAAGTCTTCAGGGATGAGACATGGGGTTCAGGCAGCAGGAGGGGATAGCCATGGGATTTCAGAGGAAGTGGGTAGTTCTCACACAGTTCTTTACTGAGATGTGGGAACAAAGCAGAAGGAGGCTTGGGACATATGAAGGGGAGTCTATTCAACAGGCAGAGCAAGCTGTGATAAGGTCAACAAAACTATGGTTCAAGTAAGAGGACTGTGATGTAGTTCTCAGTCCCGAGACTAGTTGGCAGTAGCTAGCATCACCAGTAATGTCATGCTATGGAATGAGTGTAGAGCCATGTTAGAGGTCTGAGCCCACCAAACTCCATATTTAGAGGCCAGAACTGGAGAGAGGAGTCACTCCCACACTTTATGGAGCAGACTTTAAGATACCTGCGTAATTATTTATTTGGTTAAAGGTAGCTTAATATTATTCCAAATATTTTAATAATTAGATACTCGTAGTAAAAGATTAATCCAGCCTGGGAGACAGCTTAGACAGTGGAGTGCTTTGCTTTCCAAGCTTGAGGATCTGCGTTTGATTCCTAGAATGCACACTAAAAACCCAGGGGTGGTGGCATTGGACAGGCAGAGAGAGACAAGTGTGTTTGCTCCCCACCCCAGGCCAATGAAAGACCCTGTCTAAAACAAACAGTAATAAATGACACCGTTGTCCTCTGTCATCTACAGGCACCCCCTACACACACACACACACACACACACACACACACACACACACACACACGCACGCACGCACGCACACGAGGAAATCGATCACACAAGAGATGCAATGAGCAGCAATTGGCAGCTGCTCCCTTCCCACTCTCCACTGGACAGTCTCTGAGTTTTCAGGGTTCCTGGCAGCTAACCCTATGGAGAGGTGTCGATTCTGTTTATGCTTTCTAACCCAGGTGTGGTGGTGCATGCCTACAACCTCAGCACTCAGGAGGCTCAGTAAGTAGCTCAAGGCCAGCCTCAGCTACCTAGAGGATGAGGCCCCGGCTGGCTGGTCTATATGAGAAAATTTCTTGAAAAGAAAAACAAAACCAGGGGCTGGAGAGATGGCTCAGAGGTTAAGAGCACTGGCTGCTCTCCCAGAGGTCCTGAGTTCCATTTCCCAGCACCGGCACCATGGCTCACAACCATCTACAATGAGATCTGGCGCCCTCTTCTGGCCGCCTGGGATACATGCAGGAAGAACACTGTACACATAATAATCTTCAATAAATAAATAAACAAGCAAAACGAAAGCAATCCAAACCAAAGTCGGGGTGGGGGTTGGGGTTACAAAAATAAAACCTAGGCGTAGTGACTTTGCAACAGCAGCAGGCTCAGAAGCACAAAGAAGTGGCCTTGAGTATTTGATCAAGACGTGTACAGCCTGTCCTTGGACCATGAATGTGGTGTAAGTCAAACAACCACTTCCACACTTACTGACTTCCTCCCAGTAAGAGCGTCTACCAGAACGCCTGTGTATTGGTGTGTACGGGCATATTTCCTCAAATCCATCCAAAAACAACTGCCTGGAGAAAAAGTGGCAAGGTTATGTGATGTGAAGAAGGGGTAACTGACCGATAAGGAGGCCGTGGGAGAAGGATCTTACCCCCGACTCACTGGCTTGTAACTAGGCCCTACTGAAGGGCTCAGAATTTCCTGTCCATGGTAAATTCTTTGCTAGTAACCGGTGGCTTCCTTTCCCTTGGATGGCTTTTTATTGCCACGTATGGGAGGCTGAGCCTCTGACAAAGGTGGATATTTCAATGTTAATACCTGGAACAGTGTGTGTGGGTGGGAGGGGTGGGGGAAGACCCCCCCCAATCATTAGTGGGCTGGCCACCTGCCAAGGCTGGGGCTCATGAGGAAGCCTCCAGCTGAGGATGCTTTCCGTAAGTTCTTGTTAGGGGTGGGGAGGGGAACCAGTTGTGCAGGACCAGCGGAGAGAGAAAATGGAAGAGAAATGGGAGGCAGCCGCAAATCGAGGACTCGGGCAAAGGGGAAGCCTTGGTCCCCTCTCTCGTTCTCTTCATGTCCAGAGCCACTGCCAAGGTACCAAGGGCTCATGTGCATCGTTCTCCTTTCTAACTGCCTTTCACACGGATTTCACCGGAGTGAGGGCTTCCTTTCTTTCTACCTCTCTCATTTCTAATATATGTGTAATGATTACCATAACCAAATTAGCATGTCCCTCGCCGCTCTAATTGGAATTAGGCCCCCAGAACGTGTTTTCCTTATCACTAAATGCTGGTCTCCTTTGACCAGATTGTCACCAATCTCTCAAAACCATTGTTCTACTCTCTGCTTCCCAGTATCAGTGAGACCACAGTGCATTTGTGTTACACTAACTTAACAGCACAGCACCCTCCGGGTTCACCCATATTGTCAGAATAGCAGGACTGCTTTTGTTTGTAGCCAAATAGTGTGCCTTTAGATGTGAGTGCTGGTTTAGAAAATCCATTCATTCGAAAGCCGGGCTTTGGTGGCGCACGCCTTTAATCCCAGCACTTGGGAGGCAGAGGCAGGCGGATCTCTGTGAGTTTGAGACCAGCCTGATCTACAGAGCCAGTGCCAGGACAGGCTCCAAAGCCACAGAGAAACCCTGTCTTGAAAAACAAAGAAAAAGAAGAAAGAAAAAAAAGACAGAAAATCCATCCATTCGCTGACGACATGTGCTGTTTCCACATCCTGGTTGTTGAACACAGGGAACGGGGATGTAGAATCTCTCTGAGTAATTGCACTGAAAACATTGTGGGATCATGTTTTTTTTTTCTCTCTCCAAAAAAGAGGATTCTGAGAAAGAAATCAAATAATTGAAAATATCTTAAAGAGGCATTCTAGAAAATATGGCAAGTCTTGGCTCAGAGTAATTGTATTTTAAAATTATTACCATCCACTTCCAGGCATTGCTGTCCTTTCTAAACCTTGTTAGCTCTCAATTTTGTTCAGCCTCCTGATAGCTTTAATTGCTCGAAGTCGGTGGGGTGGGTTACTTGAATTAGGAAAGGTGCGTCTGGCAACGGTATACGGGTGTCCCCACTGAGGATATGAGCGTCAGGAAAGGCATGCTAAAGGCTGTGCAAGGGATGATCAGGGTATGTAACTGGGGGTAAATCCCAATGGCCTGCTGCTGTTAGCGGTGAGATGGGTGTGGCGTGAAGGCAGCAGTAACTGGTCCGTGTCCATGGCAGATGGGAAAGAGTAGAAAACAAAGGACATTTTTTTGTTTTTGTAAGTTAAAAAAAGCCAACCATCTTACTAGTATTTCACCGCAATTGGCCACTGGGAGACTCTGTGGGTTATCAGGAGAGTTCTTACAAGAATTGAATATAATTGCTTGGAGAGTTACTGGAGATTTCTTTAATCAGAATGGAAATAAGGATACGCTGAGGCCTTAGAAGTGTGGTACTTAATGGAGAACATTGGTAGCGTGCCTCTCAGCTGCTGGAGGGAAGACGGAAGGGCAGGCTACAGTTGTGGAATTGTCTTTTTCCTCCTCCCTCCCAGTAGGACCCCAGTGTCGCCTTCGCAGAGACCTCCTGGCCTGCACTGTGGGGTCCTTCGCTGAGATGGCCAATGGAAGGATTGACCAGAGGCTGAATCAGAAATTAAACTTCTCCTTTAGTGAAGACGACGCAGAGAACGGGGTGCAGATGACAGCGCCAGGCTCCGGAGAGGCCCGGACCCCAAAGCCTGAGAGGGATGGCGATGAGGAGCTGCAGGGCCCCAAGTCTCCCCCCAGAGACGAACCTTACCCTTCTCAGAACAGAGACAAGGAAAGCCCAGGTCCTCCTCTTTGGATTCCAGATTCTTCTCTTCCCAAATGTCCAGAGACACCAGTACCACGCGGCAAGAGCAAGCTGCCAGTGGCTGACAACCTCTCCACCCCCAAAGTGAGTAAACCACGGAGAGGAAGGGACCAGGTTAACTGATGGGGGAAGAGGGTTTGGTCATTTACATGCATGCAATGATCTGGCCTTACAGGCTAGACGTGTATCGTCAGTTACCTGTTTCTTAGTGGAAATGGAGGCCAGGTTAAAGTTACCAAGAAACACAGTGAAATAAATGTCCACCTGCTTGTTTCCCTCAGCCGGTAACTACTTGGTGTTGGCTACACAAACATCTTAGTTGCAGAGATCTTAGTTAAAGAATACTGGGACTGGAAGGACTGTGGCGTTGGCAGGCCGTCCCGTGCACTTTGCACGTAAGGAAAGCAGTTTCCGGGAGATGGACTGTCTTGCCTCAGCCCCTGTCGGGGACAGGGTGGGGTATTTCATTTTTTAGTTTAAGCTATTCCCCTTCCCACTATGCCTGGCTGTGTTTGGGGGGGGGGTTGCTTGCCAATATTTTCTAATACAGGAAGGTCCGTGTCCGCCATCTGCACATACCTGCTGCTGTTACCCTTCCCAGCACTGAGTCCTCTCCACTCTGTGCCTAGTGCAGGCCTGGCACCTCTGTTCTACTTGGGAAGAGCAGAACTTGTTTAAGAATTGAAACGGTTGCTTTATAGTTCACAAATGCTTTGATTTACACTACATTACTCATCTACTAAGGCCAGGGCTTGAGAATGGTTACAGCTGGTAGACTCTGATGGCATGGTGTGTGATTCCCAGGGCTGAATTTAGCTCTGCTCGGCTGGAGGTTCTTAAGGTCATTATAATGCGAGAGGGTGCTGTTTGCAGCGCAGTCTCAAGTCAGTGGGTCTCAGTATCAGCGGGTCTCCATAGTGCTGCTCAGGCCCGAGTGTGTCTGACAGGAAAGACCAGGCTTCTTGCTGAACTGCACACAACCAAACAGGCTTTGTGGTCATCAGAAGGTGTTTCAGTGTCCCAGTACCGACCAACTGATGATCTGTCTCCTTCCTCTCGAGAACCCACTGTGGGTGATAAACACGGGACACAATCTTTCTTTGCAACCAGCTTAAGATTCACCAGGGAATTTTGAGAATCCTCTGTGAAGAACGGCTCTTAGTGGGATGATTAGGAAAGGAAGAAAGGAGAAGGCGGAAAGTGAATAGCAATGGCAGTTGGTGTTGTTTCAAAAGATGGTTTGGAGGGTGGGGTTTGTGTGGGGATATGCCCACAAGACAGGGCGATGAGCGTAATATGTCTTTCACTCATTACATCACCCACAATGTGCTCTGCTGGGAGACACCGTTCACTTTAACAACCACCCCCCCACCAATTAATAAGCAGCAAAAAACGATGAAATAATGTGAAGAACGGCAGAGTATGAGGAGCAGAAATTGGGAATTAAGGTTCCAAACAGTGGTAGCCGTTTTCTAAAGGAAGTACTGTCTGAGAAAAGAACAGGATAATGAACTAGAGTTAGCCCAGAAGAGAGGGGAAGGCGATCCGCAAGCAGAGGGTAAGACAGGCACCGAGTGTCAGAGGGGAAGGCGGAGCACTTGTTATTCAGTGGCAGAGGCCAACGTTCTGTGTGTGTGTGTGTGAGAGAGAGAGGCGGGGAATGACGTGAGATGGGTAGGCAAGAGAGAGATGAACATTCCATCCCAAAAGGCTGAGTCAACCACTCAATGGCTTTGAGTAGGGGTACTCTTAACAAGTCGTGGTTTCAAGGGCATGGTGGCTAGACCAGAGAAAGTCTTGACACGCGGATAGTCACAGGATTCTGTGAATTAGGATCGGAGTGCACAGGGCTTAAGCCGAGAGATGCTCAGGAACTAAGCAATAAGTTGATGGGGTTGTTGCTTGGAAAAGAGGGATCTGAGATGATGGTGACGCTCCTTGCTTGACTGAAGAGACAGAGCCTGGAATCTGGGAGACACTGAGGGTATACAAGTTTGGGGGAATAAAACAGATATGGGGAATGAGTAGTTGGCTAAGCGGGGCCTGGGGAAACAGCTGAGACCGGAGAACCCTGTTTGGCTATATATATGGCATCCGGGAAACCAATGGAACCATGGGTGGGGGTCAGGCCACATAGTTTGAGTGCTGTTACCGAGAAGAGAGGTGCTACCGGTCGTGGGTCATGCCGAGGGGAAGAACAGACACAGGATGAAGCATGGAAAGCGGTGGAAATTCAACAGGGAAAACACCTACTCCTCCGCAATGCATGTGAGCCAGGGTACCAACTAGTGGTGCATTGCTGAAGACTCTCTGCAGCAGCACAGGAAAGCAGGGTAAGCTCACTTCTGCTTTTCCTAAGATGCGCAAGCATGAATCGTGTGGCATTAGCTCCCTTCTCTCAGGGATTCTTAGCAGAACCACTGAAGAACAGGAAAGCATCTTTAGGCATCAGTAAGCTTGCTGCAGCTAATTACATTAAACACCAGCCGATGGTGATTCCACTGCAACATCACAGATTCGAGACTCAGAGGCTTAGCTGGCTTTTGAATTAGCAGCTTCCAAATACTCTAATGTTGTCTTGACAGGGGGTTCCCTTCTCGACTTCTTCAGAAGTCAAGTAGCTACCCCACACATCTCCCGTAGTCAGCCACACAGAGTCATCACTAGACATTCATCTACACTCTCTGGAATGCACACACTTCCTATCTGCTTTTTAATCTGCTCTTCCTCTGGGAAAAGCTTTCTTACATGATGGACATTTCCATATGTCACAAGAGGAGATCAAAAATCTAGTGATCATCTGCCATGGTATGAATTTCTTCATTTTTAGCTGAAAATTTCATAGGCTCCTTTTATTTTCCTTAATCTACGGCAAAAGACCCGGGTGGTGGTGGTGCATAACCTTACTCCCAGCATTTGGGAGACAGAGGCAGGTGGATCTCTTCGGGTTGGAGACCAGCCTGGTCTATAAGAGATAGTTCCAGGACAGGCTCCAAAGCTACACAGGGAAACCCTGTCTTGAAAAACCAATATAAATAAATAAATAAATGTCAAGAGAATTGTGTGCAGCATTGCATATTTGGATACCCTCCATTTCAAATGTGAAAGATGCATTTTACTTGGCATTATAAAACACATTCCTCGAGGGGATGGTCTAGTGTAATCCTGAGTTATTTCCGATATCACACTAATAATGGAGGTATAACATGTACTATAATTTTGCTTATTTTGAACCTAGAGTCCCTTTTCATGACAAACTCGCCAAAAAAACAATGACATTTTCAGAGTGGGTTTTGAACGCAGTCCTAGGATTAGTCACTCTGTAAACTCTAAAATCAATGTAAGACCCTTATTTTAAAAATCCTTGACTATGCCAATGACCTATTTTTCACCTACAAAAGTTATGCTAATTTGTATGTTTCATAATATCAATCACGTATTGAATATTAAGTCTAACAGGCTTTGAAAGCTCACACTATTGGACAAATCAGTTTGGCTTCTGATTTTACACTGAAAAGTCACAGAATCAGGAAGGTAGAATTTGATAGCAGCCCCCAAGTGTAATGAGCATCCTGTATTATTGCCTGCTTGCACAACATGTGGTTCTCTAGATCCTGACACAGATCTAATGGCACCCTTTTCTTTCGGTATTCTTTGAAGCTGGGAAACTTAGGTCTAGGTTTAGTTGGACTGGCAAGTCTTCATTCTTCCATTTATTGGTAGCTGGTTATAGTCACTATTAAAGCCCTGGCATTTTCTAGTGATTTTTATTGTTATTTTTACATCCTAACCAGTTTCCCCTCCCTCCTCTCCTCCCAAACCCCCACCCCGATTCTGCCCACTCCCACTCTCTTAATTTCTGTTCAGAAAAGGGCAGGCCTTCCATGGATATCAACCACACACGGCATATCAAAGTTGCAGTAAGACTAGGCACTTCTCCTCATATTTAGGCTGGGCAAGGCAACCCAGTATGAGGGAAAGGGTTCCAAAAGCTGGCAAAAGAGTCAGAGACAGCCCCTGCTCCCACTGTTAGGAGTCCTGTAAGAAGACCAAGCTACACAACTGTCACATACATACATACTACATAATACATGCATGCTACATACATACATACTACATATAATGATACATACATACTATATACATGCACACATGCACACTACATACATGCATGCACACATGCACACTACACACATACATCATACATACATATACATACTACATACATGCTACATACATCATACATACATACGGCCTAGGTCAGTCCCATGCAGGCTCCCTGGCTGTCACCTCCGTCTTCTGAGAGCCCCTATGAGCCCCCCTAGTTAGTTGGTTCTGTAGGTTTCCTTGTGGTGTCCTTGACCCCTCTGTCTGCTACAATCCCTTCTTCCCATTTCTGCAGGATTCCCCAAGCTGCGCCTAATGACTGGCTGTGGGTCTCTGCATCTGTTTCCATCAGTTGCCGTATGAAGCTTCTCTGATAACAACCGGGCTATGCGCCAGTCTATGAGTACAGCACAATATCATTAGGCACCATTACTTACACTGACTTTTTTTTTTTTTTTTTTGCCAGTAGCATCCTAGATCTCTGGGCCACCCAGTGTCTGGGTCGTGGCGCTCCAGGCACTGTGAGGGTGAAAGCCCTAAAAGTTCGAGGTTATTTTAACTGCTGCTGTTTAGTGACAGCCCACTCAGCAGAAGTGTAACACGTTGTCTGAGGGCTTTATCATCTGCCTGAATATTTGGAGTGGTTATCTTCTATTTCCTGATGTGTTTACTAGTTCTCAGAGCTCCCACCACTATTCTCTAGGGTTCATACTCTAAGGGAAGAGGGACCTTGTGTCTTAAACATCTACAGCAGTGTGTGCCAGTCACGGGAGCACACATACATGGCCGTTTATATCCCGATACCCTCTGAAAAATGCTGACGGTTGTCAGGCTGCCTGCCACATTCTTTCTGAGGCCATTCTTTTAATAGTCCTTCCTTTGTCCGTTTTTATAGTCATTTTGCTTTAGTTTAAAATTTTAACATAGTTATTTCCCCTTTTCCCTCCCTCCCCACACTCCCCTGCTCCCTTCCTCGCTCGATCTCTCAAATTTATGGCCTCTGATTCCTTTTTCCTTACCCTAGACAAGGACCTCCAGGCAACTAAAAGAGGCTGAAAGTAGAAGAAGTGGCGTTCCCCAGGGAATACCAAGTGGGCAACCCAGAAATCATAAACATACTAGTACTGTTATAAGACTGAGCAGGATGTGTGTGTGTGTGTGTGTGTGTGTGTGTGTGTATGAATGTATATATGTAGACTATTATTTTTATCCTTCATTTCATGGGGTTCTGATTATTCTACGTGGTGTTTTAAGTGAATTTCAGGACTCCCTTTTTCATCTAGAAAGTCCATGAAATGTGTCTCTTACAAAGTCATTAATTGAAAGACACTGATGAACTGATTAACAAACTGCGTGTTCATTAAGAGCTACAGTTTGTCTCTGTACCCATCAGTGTCTCACCCCGCATCTAAGTAGGTACCAAACAAATGCTGGGGATGAGTATCTGAGGGAGAGTTAATATATGTGAACAGGAGAATGGGTTCCCATAGAAGCGTCTATAGAAGCATTTCCGCCCACCTGAATGCAATAATATCCTCATCTCGCCGAAAAGCTGAAGGCGGGGCTTAGAATTATCACAATTGGCAGGCCTGCCTAGAGGAAGGGGTGGAGCTTAACAAAAACACTGATTTCCCTGTTGATTCATGAGATGAGTCTAGAATTTCATATGCTTAAAATAAGAGCGCCAGGTGCAATGGAACCTGTTCTCACTGAACCACACAATCTTTTAGCAGTAACATTCCTTGGCTCAAGTACTGACTAGCGGCTGACAGGACACTTTCTTTCTGATTTGTCTTTTGTCACACTCACCCAGAATTCACAGACGCCGCCAGAGATCTCTTCAGTAGGGAAGCTCTCTGCCCGGAGCTCCAAGCATTTGAGGCTCACACCTGCTCCCTTCGTGGATGAGAAGACGTCCTTGTCTCTGGTGAATATCAACCCGTTCACTCCGGAGTCCTATAGGAAATTATTCCTTCAATCAAACGGCAAGAGGAAAACCAGAGGCTACCTGTGAGTGTACATTTCTCTCGGTTTCTGAGAACGCCTTTGGGCCGGTACAGGGGTGAGGTTAGGAATAAGAACTCTACTTGAATGAAACTGAAGTACTGTGCATGAGTCCCTCATCCCTGCATGTCACTGTTAGTCACAGAAACCCGGGCATCTTTGCATTCTGATGTGTACCGCAGGGAGCCTTTCGCTAAAGAGTCCAGCAGAGCAAGCACCAGATCTGACAGTAGACAGCTGAATGCTGCGGACAGGACTTGACGGACTTCCTTTGGTTAATGTGAAGCTAGCAGCTGGGGAGGCGGTCACATTTCTAACTGTATATTGCTGCTTTGAATTTGGCCTGTGATACCTGGTGATGAGAGCTACCGGGCAATTCTTCTTCTCTGTAGGACACTGAGGAGGGTAAAAGATGTGGCTGCTTCCGCAGGTGCTAATAAATGAGAAGTCAAAGTACCCCATCCCCCAAACTGCCACAGGGTGGCGGAAGTCACCTTGTTAAAGGGTCCCCGCATGTGCTGGTCTGATTGCGTGGAGCGTCCACGCCTTTCCCTAGTCTGTTCCCATCCCTTCTCAGAATCTTAGCCTTTTCCCTCTTGAGATCTCACACGGCCTCCCGATCCTGCCGCAAGCTCGTTTTTAAACATTCTCTTGGTTATTTCTACTCCCAGATATACGGTGAGGAGGGAAGGGAATTTATTTACTCACAGACGCGGAGCCAATGATACACGATCTTTAATCACTCTTGCTCTAACCCTTTCCTTGTAGTGAGGAACCTGGAGAAGGGGAAAGCAAATCGGGACAGTGGCTGCCTGCTAAGGTGGGTGTGGCCTCTCTCCCCGCCCAGCAGCCCCTCCCTGCCTGCTAAGGTGGGAACACACTTCTTATGTGTTCAGTGCATAAAACTCAAAGCTGTACATGATGGTTATACGCGTGTCAATCAGGAATCGGATGCCGCAGTGACCGCTCATTGCAGTGTCAAACAGCAGAGGCCACGCAGTGGTTCTCACTTCTAATTACTCAGCTTTTCCTGAGCAAATCTTGTCTGCATAAGCAGTATTTCCCTATTCTTTTCCTCTCTCTTTCCCGGCCCCTGTATCTCCCCTGACGGGGGGCTTCTCACAGCTCAGGCTGCCCTGGAAGTCATAACCCTTCTGCCTCTGCCCCCTGAGTGCTAGGATCGCAGGTTTGGGACATACCCCAGTAGAGGTAGTAGTTTTAAATGTCAGCACTTGGCTATTGTAACTGACACGGAGAAGGCTGTGAGCATAGGCTTTCAATTTTCACATGTGAACATTGCCCACTTAAGCCTTCAATGCTCTTTCCTTTTCTTTCTCATTTGTTTTATAAGTCTGTAACTGGCTTCTGATAGAGTGCCAAATGTATTCATTAAAGGGGAAATATATCTATACGAAAGTCACTGGCCAGGAGAAACTAACACATTTGAAATACCAAAAACGGTGCACACATAAACATAAAAACAAATGATACCCAGATCTGTGTTAACCTTTATGTGAACCTATATGTGACATGTGAATGTATGCATATATTTAAGGTCTGCAAGGGTAGTAAAAATAATCCTTGTAGAAAACAAAATGGTAGAACAGAAATTTAGAAAGATAATTCTAGGCAAAGAAGGGAAGTGATTTATAATTCTCTGAAAGCAGGGAAATGGGTCCTGTGTAAGAGGGTGGGTTGGGCAGCTGAGTGGTGTGGACACTGAGCAGGACTGTTTGGTAGTTATAGGGTGGTCAGTTCCAGTTGGTAGGAGGGATGTGGGTCTCTTGACAGAGTTGAACTTTCTCTTGGGAAACACCTAGGCTTTTAATTCTGGGGAGTTGGAAAGTGAGCTGATGATGGAGGCAAATCCAGACATGGAGGAATCAGAATGTAGGCTTGCCCACGGGCAAAGGAGAGATCAGGTCTAAGGACTGATTGGAAATAAATGCAAAAGTGATCAAGTAGCAGTCAAGATATTTTTGTTTTAATTTGCTAAAGTTAAGATGAGAAACATTCTTGCTAATTGGGAATTTTTAAAAAAGATGGCATTGGGGAGAGAAATCATCTTAAAGTTAGACTCGTGCGTAGTTGTAGAGATTTTAGATTTTGAACATAATACTAGACTGTGTGACTTTATAGTTTGGTAACTGTGATATGTTAATATATGTATATATCAACACATTTCACACAATGTATGTGTAGACATACATAAACATATGTGCAATGACATATGTGATAAAACATTGTACATATAGAATCATAAAATAATAATGTACCCTGAGGAGTCATTGCTATGATCTTCATGTTACAGACAGAAAACTGATGAGTTCAGTGATTTCCCTGGGTTGATTTACTGGCTAGAAAATGAATGATATTACCAGCTGGCCACTAGGAGGAGGTAATGCTGAACATATGTGTTGGATTTAGACATTGGACAGTTTTGTTTCCCAGACTAAGACTTACTGTGAGAACAAACTGAAACAAGAAAATTTATTCAACTTGAGGTGGAACTACAGCTCCCGGGCCTTGAGAGAGTATAGAGCGTCAAAAGTAGGTTTTGGTATCATCTGTGCTTGCTCTGAACATGCTTCATCTGTCTCCTGCTAGTCCTTTAGCTGAGGACGGTGGTTCTGGGCTTTGGAAGCTGTGGGTCTCCCATCAGAACAGTCTGACCAGATGGAGGAAAGATCATTCAAAACAATGTGACCAGGGCCAGTACCGACTTGTGTGTAAAGTTACAAAGGACACAGGTGTGGCCAGCCATTGGCAAAACTCTTCGTTACCATGATTACCAACACGAAGAGCAGCTATTGCATTTGCCTCGCATTAAAAAAAAAAAATTAAAAAAGCAATTTAGGAAATGTAATATAGCTCTGTTTTCTTGCACACTGTTTGTAGGAAGACTTATTCCCTCTCTCTTTTTTAAATATTTTAGAGAAGTGTTCTACGAGAAACTAATATGGCTTCCCGCTATGAAAAAGAGTTCTTGGAGGTAGAAAAAATTGGGGTTGGGGAATTTGGTACAGTCTACAAGTGCATTAAGAGGCTGGATGGATGCATTTATGCAATAAAACGTTCTACAAAACCATTCTCAGGATTATCAAATGAGTGAGTACCTTTGAAAAGTACTGGATGGACGAATTTGGATTTGGTACTGTATTGATTATCAAAATAGTTTTAGAAAGAGCAGCAGCACCAATGAACCCCCCCCCCCATTTACTTGGTTTTAAATTCATCCCCATTCACTGCTTTACTGGATTATTCAGAAAACCAATGGCATTTCCTAAAACAGAACATGATAGCTTCAGGTCATGTTGTTTGTAATTTTAGGATCTCACCATGTAACTTTGGCTAGCCTGGAACCCACTAGTTAGGCTAGGCGGGCCTTGAACTCAGAGACTTGCCTGCCTCCACTGGGATTAAAAGCATGCATGCCCATGCATGCAATTGTTGTTTTAATTTCTTGTCTTTTCTGTCTACTGGTCTTACTGCTATTCTAATGAATTGATTTTTGGAACGGTCTCCTGGTACCCATTTATGTTCATCTGAAGTACTGTCAGACAGGAAATGCCATCAGTGGTTTCTCTCTATTTTATACCCTTCTAGTTTACCTTTTGTGGCTGTGGTAAACACCATGACTAAAAGCAGCTTGTAGAGGAGGAAAAGGTTTACTTCATTTTAACTGTGGGTCACGATCCATCATGGAAGGAAGTCAGGGCAGGAACTCAAAACAGGAACAGAGATAGGCACTGTGCAGGCTCACTGTTTACAGGCACTGTGCAGGCTCACTGTTTACAGGCATGCTCCCTAGCTCCTGCTCAGCCTGCTTTCTTATGCTTGTCCAAAGTTGGTACCAACGGTACCCACGGTGGTACCAACCAAAGATCAAGCAAAACAATCTCTCACAAGCATGGCTACAGGCCCATCCGATTTATACGGTCCCTCAATCGATATCCCCTCTTCCTAGGTGGCTCCGATTTGTATCGAGTTGACAATAAACTAACCAGCACACACACTAATACTTAATTCAGTAGCGAAGTCTGATACTGTATGCAAAGAAAAACTATTAGCAATGTTTATATTTAACTCCCAGAATTAACTGTTCAGTTTTTCCTATGATCATAAGGAAGAAATGACAAATTTGATTGCTTTTGTGGGTTTCTTTCATTCATACTGGCCATGCTGAGCCAGACATTATAGGTTTTGTTTTTATACTGATGTCAATCAAGGACAGAATTCCCAAGGCTTTCCCATGTAACCCATGAGACTGACTGAGTTTGACAATGACTCTAATGACCATCTAGCCTACATGGAGAAGATAGACCCACCAGAGTGTCCACAATCAAGTGTGCGATGCCTTCTTGTTAGGCCTATCAGTAGGCCTAACAAGATACAATGTGCACTGTGATACAATGAAATTAAGGCCCAAAGCCTATCTGCTGTTGAGACCGTAAGCACATACGATACACACACACACACACACACTCACTCAATCATCACTCACTCATTCACACTCTGTCACTCACTCACTCACGTACACACTCACTCACGCACACACTCACTCACGCACACACTCACTCACTCACACACTCACACACTCACTCACTCTCACACTCACTCACTCACACACTCACACACTCACTCACACACTCACACACTCACTCACACACTCACAGACTCATTCACACTCACTCACACACACTCACACACTCACGCACACACTCACTCACACACTCACTCACACACTCACACACTCACACACTCACTCACGCACACACTCACTCACTCACACACTCACTCACACACTCACACACTCACACACTCACTCACTCACACACTCACTCACGCACTCACTCACGCACACACTCACACACTCTCACACTCACTCACACACTCACTCACGCACTCACTCACGCACACACTCACACACTCACACACTCACTCACACACTCACTCACACACACACACTCACGCACACACTCACTCACACACTCACACACTCACACACTCACTCACTCACACTCACGCACTCACTCACGCACACACTCACACACTCTCACACTCACTCACACACTCACAGACTCATTCACACTCACTCACACACTCACACACTCACTCACACTCACACACTCACTCACACACTCACAGACTCATTCACTCACTCACACACACACACTCACTCACACACACACACTCACTCACGCACACACACTCACTCACGCACACACTCACGCACACACTCACGCACACACTCACGCACACACTCACGCACACACTCACGCACACACTCACACACTCACGCACACCCTCACTCACTCACTCTTTACCATGTTCTCCAGCATATCAGTCTATAAGGACTGAATAGATAAAACGCTAAGCATGCAGCAGACCCTAGAAAAATGTTTTTAATGCCCCCCCATGTTCTCATTTTAAAAAATCTTTGGGGGGGGGGTGGATTGAAAAAACAAAACCTTTTAATCTGTAATATCTCAGTTGATTTTCCTAAATGCTTTCTGTCCCCTGGAAGTCTGGATCTGCACGAAGTGTTTGCTCATGCAGTGCTTGGCCATCATCCCCACGTGGTACGCTACTATTCCTCATGGGCGGAAGACGATCACGTGGTCATCCAGAATGAGTACTGCAATGGTACGTACGAATTCGGACACAGAGATGGCGATGGACTTTTTAAATCTTTGGAAATAAAGCAGCCTCATCACAGTTTAAGCCTTTACACTCTGGAGTCACACTGCGCATGCCTGTGCTCCAGAGCAGAGACGAGGATAGAGCTGAAGAGGTGTGTGAGTGTGTACACATGCAAAGCTATACAGCTGAAATGAAGATGCTACTAGTCCCTTCGCAGCTATCTCACCCTGAAAGAAAAAACAAGCCGCACTAGTTTAAATAACCCTCTGACCGTACCACGTGGAGGAACATGGGGATAAAGGCTCCTAGTTATAATTGTTTTGGTAAAGGCTTTAACTTTTCACTTATTTTTCCCATGGACTTCCGAGTTTAGGGGCCCTTCTCATCTTTCGCTGCTCCAAACTCTAGAGTTTAATTGCCCTCTCCACCAGATGGGTGCTGTGGCCAAACTCGGTGCTTCCCGATGTATTTTTCACACCCTGAGTAAAATTCACTCTAATTTTAAGGGAAGCAATACATGCTCTGACCACAGACAGTTTGAAAATCCCTCCTCCCACAGCCACGCTGAGTGTCTCCGCCCCTTCCGCCCCGCCTTCCAGTCTGGTGTACCCCCCCCCCCAAGGTCCCAGGCATAGTTGTCGGGCCTGGCCTTGGGGTAGAGTGGCTGGCGATAAAGCTTCTCTATCAGGGAAATAAGTAAGTAAACGATGCTGTGAAAAGCCAAGGAAGGACACACACACCTTGCAAAACAACAACTGAGCAGTTCTCTAATTGTTTCCTTATAGGAAAGTTTGTTTTTTGTTTGGTCTTAACCTGTGGTCTCTGCAGGGCTGTTATTTTCCTCTTTTATATTCACCCCCCCCAACACACACTTTGTTCCACTAGTCTTGGAGGAGGTGTGGTCTTTCTTTATGCTTATTATTAAGAGTTCTCTTGATCACTCTTTCTTCCCAACTCCCTCATCTTAAAACCCGAAGCTCCCTTCTTTTTTCTCCTCCCCTTTTTGTAGATGGAAAATTAGTTTAATTCTCATTTTTTTTTCTATTAGCACAGAGTATAAAATAAGAAAAATTAACTAACAGAGAAAAATGTTAATATGATGTGGAGTCAATGAAAATGTTCTGAAAATCTCAAAAACAAGATGGGGAGGTTGCTTCTATTAAACAATCTTTACTTCTCTTCAGCATTTGAATGCCTTCCCTAAGTTAGACACTCTACTAAACTCTAGATAGAGAAATACTCGAGACTGAGATGGATGGGCAAGTCCTTACGGTGCTCTGCTGCACTCAACCTGTTAGAACTCTATAACAGACAATCTGGTGCAAAGCTGTCTGGCCCTGTCATGGGTAAAAAAACATTCAGAGAAAGACCTGGGTTTATAACCCACCTCTGATGCTCCCTGCCTGTATAATTCATTACCGGAATGCCATTCAAAATTAGTATGTAAATGGATGGTAATATTTATCACAGAAGTAACTTGAGAATTAACAACAGCACATGCAAAACATTAGTCAGTTTCTGATACATAATAAAAGTACATCAGTTCCAGGTTTCATAAAGGAGGCAAAACTTGAATCACACCTCACAAAAGAATTACTGGAGCTCGGTACATCAGAGGGAGGGCATCCAGGTGTTGGAACAGCAGGCAGGCTAAAGGCAAGGACCAGAGAGTGGGTGTGACCTAACAGACGTAGGGATGGGTGACCCTCTGGTAGAAAATAGTATCAGCAAAGTGAAGGCACTTTACAAACTGGTCGGTGGCTTTCAGGTTAGAAGTGGGAGGTCACAGGTCGCAGGGAATTGTGGCATCATCCTGACCTTCAGGTGGTCATTCGGTCCTGTTTAACTCTCTGTGCAGCTGGTAATTCTTCCAGGTGGAACCTTCCCCAGACCTCTTTCCTCCTCCTTCCTGGCTCCACCCCGACTTTTCCTCCCTTCATTGTTTTTAGCCCGTGCCTTCCCGTTGCTCATCTCCCAACCCGACGAGTCAGTCAGACTGGGGCATGTACAGCCGTGATTTTAAATTAGGTGATACCATAAGTGACTTAGCGACAAATATGTGTTAGATGAGTATTATCGGAGACCCACTGTGGAACAGTTTACCCTGTTGTCCCTCTGAAGCCTGAACCTCTCCTTCCCCTCAGCCCTTGTCAAGATGCCTTGAAAGTCACCCCTGGACAAGCCCAGACAACTAGAATGTCTCCGATAGATGCAACAACCCCCGGGATTTCAGCTGATTTGGGGGTTAGACTATTTATCTGTCTGCAATGACAATATCTGCGTACGTGAATCAAGTTGGCTTGATTGTCCTATGGTTAATAATTACGTAAAACTCCTTTTTTGCCCCCTTTGGTTTTTCGAGACAGGGTTTCTCTGTGGCTTTGGAGGCTGTCCTGGGACTCATTCTATAGACCAGGCTGGCCGTGAATGCACAGAGATCCGCCTGCCTCTGCCTCCTGAGTGCTGGGACTAAAGGCGTGTGCCAACATTATGTATGTATGTATGTATGTATGTATGTATGTATGTATACACACACACACATACATACATACATATATTATTATATCGTATAAGCCACATATTTGAGAACCTAGAATCTCATTTTCTTTTTTCAAAGTCCTGAAGTCCAAACACCCATGGCTCTGTCCTGGGGCTGATACTGTACGCTCTGCGCGGACACAGCACTGAGACTTGTTCAAGGCTCTCCTGATGTGTCCTACGCCTTTGCCGCCTCTTGAGACTCATGCCTGCTTTCTTCATCTCTACAATCTCTGCCCAGGTGGGAGCTTGCAAGCTGTAATATCCGAAAACGCTGCATCTGGTAACCATTTCCCCGAGCCCACACTCAAAGACATCCTCCTACAGATTTCCTTGGGACTTAAGTACATCCACAACTTTGGCATGGTACACCTGGACATCAAACCCAGTTAGTATTTTTTATGTCTCCATTCCTTCGGTATTTTGTCTTTTATACACCATCAGGAAAATGTGTACCCGTGTACCTTCAATCTCAAAGATAATATTGTCTAGAAGAATTATTTTCCATTCATTTCCCATAACAAAGTCAGCCAAATATCTTTAATTAAACATTTTCTCCTTGAGTCAGGGGACACAAGGGGAAAAGACACTTTCTCATATAGACCAAACAATATAAAACTAGATATTTAACTTACCACACAGAAAACATTCTGACTGTTTGTAACTAGTACTGCATTTTCTCTGTCAGCCCTGATCAGAGTGAACAGAGTGAGTGTGCTAATGCCTAAGGAGAAGTTATTTTGTGTGTGTTAATTATTTTGAGACAGCATGTGACCATGCTCTTCAGAGGATGGAGACTCTGTGAGGTCAGTTCAACTTTAAGAGGTGTCATCCATCACTGGCTGTTCTGATGTGATAGTAGGTACACTCAGGAGGCAGATGTAGCCTGATCCCTGTGTGTCCAAGATCAACCTGATCAACACAGTGAGTGAGTTCCAGGCTAGCCAGAGCTATACGGTGATACAGGACTAGGGAGACAGAGTGTGACACACAGAGAAAGATTACATAGAAAAAAATTAAATTCAAAGATTAGTAATCACTCTAAACCACGCCAGAGAAGGGAAGCTGAAGGTCATGGCCATGAAAGGCTGAGTGTGGTGGGAGCGCAGAAACCATTACTCATGTCTACTGTTTTTTTTTAAGGTAACATCTTCATTTGTCACAAGATGCAGAGTGACTTTCCCGGAGGCCCAGAAGAGACAGAAAGTGAGGCTGACTGGTTTCTCTCTGCCCGTGTGATGTATAAAATCGGTGAGTCTGCTTCTACCCATCAGCGGGCTACTCTACAAACAGGACGGTGAGCTCATTTACTCCACCTTCTTTTTAAAAAGGTGACCTGGGCCATGTGACATCAATCAGCAAACCGAAAGTGGAAGAAGGAGATGTTCGATTCCTGGCTAAGGAGGTCTTACAAGAGGTATACGTTAGGGAAACGGGAGGGGGCCTTCTCTCTTGCTCTCTTTGACTCAGAATCTTGCTATGTTGTTCAATATGGCTGCTGCGAACTTGTGGCCTTCCAGCCTTAGCTTCCCAAGTAGCTGGGACTATAGATATGCAATAAATTTTATAATTTATTCAACTGTTTGACTCTCAGATGAAGGCTCACAGTGCCCCCAATAAAGAGTATATATTTGTAACTCAAACTTATAAAGTCTCTTTTCCATTCAGAAAAGAGTATTTGCTTTCCAAATACAGTAAAGAATTTCCTCCAAAGTGTGGGAATGTTATTTCAATCAGTAATGAATTTATCAATATGTTCCTCCAAAAAGTCCTTCTCTGTTTCTGGCATGTCTTAGTAGTCTTAGCCTAGTGAGTTGCATGGGAGAAAAGAACCCCTCTCTCCATGATCATCTTGTCTTTATCACATTGTTATCCTCTCGATGATGCAGCAGCTCCGATCACTAAAATGACTGTTAGTTGTTGCCCATCTTCTAGAGTTCCTGTTGAGTCTAACCTAGCACGACTATAACCTTCCTTCTGGGTAATACTCGAAGGGTGCGGGGTAGGGGGTGGGGAGTCTTGTGATCAGCTAATTAAGCCTCACTGGATCTGACAGAGGTAAATGATGCTGAGGCTCTACCCTGGGCTTTCTGAGCACAGCAATATCACTCAGGTTTGTTTATGTTCCCTTTAGCTTCTTGGTATAAACCAGCAACTACATATAGTACACATAACTATGCCATGGTATTGAGAGCTTATGAGTAACCAGACCTCTGCCAATCACATTTTAGAGTCACTCTACTTGGCAGACTAACTGGTCTTCCTATCTTCTGTTTCGTAGAATTACCAACACCTTCCCAAAGCAGACATATTTGCCCTGGGGTTAACTATTGCTGTGGCTGCAGGAGCAGAGTCATTACCCATTAATGGTGATGCGTGGCATCACATCCGAGAGGGGAACTTTCCAGATACTCTCCAGGAGCTCTCGGATGACTTTTACGGTCTACTCAAGGTGACACCTCCTATGAAGCGTCTCCATTTTAAATGTGATGACAAGTGTGGTGGAGTGGAGTGGGGGTTAGGTAGACAGGGATTTGGATAGGGCCATGGGAACAGAAGGAGGAGGGAAGTAGGAAGTTCCGATAGGACAGGACAGGTTGAAACTTCTTCAGGAAACGTAGCCTCCATGATGACCCTCATGTGAACACTTTTTATTTTTTCTTCCTAGTAGCCCATAAAATGCAGGTGGTACTCCTTTCTGCAGCAGAGAAAACTCGAGCTCAGAGAGGCTCTTGTGTTCAGTTAGTAATTGGTAATTCTAAGTGTAGCCCTCATCTTTCCCCTCCAACATCAGGTGTGTACTGTTGTCAATGACCAGTGATGACGATTTTCTTTTCTAAAAGAATCACTTCATGAGTGTCTGTAAAAGTATAAGCAACTTCATGATAATCGACAGTGCCACTTATTTAAGCTACTGGGGGAAAGCTTGTGATTTTTTTTATACATAAGCATGCATGAGGATGGATAACTAAGGGGGTATGATATTGAAACAAAGACAGCTACAAACCCAAAAACAAAACAAACATCACCAACAACAGACCCCAACAACCTTATACTACCAAGAAGTTTAGAGGCACCACCCCCAAAAAAATCCTGAGTTAGAAAAACAAGGTTGGCTAGGGTTCCTAACGTTGTTTTAGAAATAGCCACTTCCTTGAACATTAGACTTCCATTTTAAACCTACAATTGTAGTTACCAATTCTTCCTTCTTATTTTCAATTTTCTTTCCTGGAAAGAGGAAAACCTTTCCTTTGCTCTTCTGTTGATAGCCTAATCATTCCTATGTATGTATGTATGTGTATGTATATATACACACATGTCTCATACATGTAAATGAATCTTAGATTTGTTCATGTTTATTGGGTGTCTAAATGCTAGTCCTGTGCTATGTATACTGTGTAATTTACGTTAATTGACTTAAACCTCACGACATCTCCAGAAAGAGAACAGCATTATCCTGGATTTTAGATAAGAGAACTGTATCACAGTTATGAAGTAAATAGTGGTGCTTGCTCTGAACTTGAACCCCAAATGGAATACTATAGAAAGTTCAGTCTATCTGTCATCCTGTGACGATATTAATGCATACACAGAGATGCTGATGTGTTAACCACATGCTAATGCCATACTATTTAAGTCATCTTAGACCTCCTCTGCCCTGAGCTAGGTATTTTAGCGTCATTAAGAGACAGAGGGGTGCAATGGAGTAGAGAGTAAATTGAACTCACTTGGGTGAACTTGGAACAGAGCTGGGTAAACTGGGTTTTGATCTTGCCAGTTCCTATAACCCGGATATAGCTACAGTTTTTTTCCCTTTATAACCAAAATGTTAGACTAACGAATCAACAAACCAGCTAGCTCTCAACACATGACAATTAAATCTAAGTCTTAAGCACAGACAAATGATGCTACCAGATATGGGCGATCCTTGTGTTCAAGGTGGAACAAAGTCACAACACCCAGCAGCATATGCTGAAACTTCCGTTTCCTCCTATGGTCCTACATCTTCCTTCAGAGTATGATCCACCCTGACCCAGAGAGGAGGCCGTCTGCGGCAGCTCTGGGCAGGAGTCGAATCCTCCGGCCCTTCCTGGAGAAGGCAGATGAACTCCAGAAGCAACTGAACTTGGAGAAGTCCAAGACAGCCACACTGGAAAGGTAAAGCTGGTTGCTGGAATCCATGAAGGGTCAGTTTTAACAACTCACAGTGGTCTGCCTGGACTGGCGTGTGTCTGTGGATTCAAGCCTATATAGGCACATCCTACATCATCAGATGTAGGTATCCCACAAGAAGCCTGGCAGTGTGCTATGTTTGAGGGCTTGGGACCCTGCAGCATGACAGAATTCCAGGTAACGCAAAGGGAAGCAAGGGGGAGGAAGACAAGGAGATACCAGTGGTAAGGGAGTCCTGGGCTCTGGGGGACAGCAGGTATCAAAGCACCCAAGAGACTGGTAGCTAAGGGGAGGTCTATTTTAGGGTGTTAGGTGTGTAGAGCCTGCTTTGGAAGCACTGATCTGTGGGGCAGAAGGCCGACACCAGATCCTGATAGCATATTTAGAGGATGATATGTTTTTTCTGAGCAAAGAAGGCAAGCTGACCTCTGGTTGATATAGGCCTGCATTCATTTATTAATTTATTGCTTCATCAAACGAATGGAATAAGTTTGGGTGTGGTTGGAAAAGGTCATGCGATGATGTTTAAGTGGAATTTTGAAGGGATCCTTAGTTGATTATTGTATTATATGTGCACTATTGAGAAAATAAGAAGAAAATGAAATTGGGTCCTTGTTGGAAATTTGCTTAGAATTCCAACTTTGCTTGGCTATAAAGCCCCTCTTTGCAGGGTTAGCGTGAATGGCCACTAATCCCAGTTTGGGGTTTGAGCTGCAGGGACTCTCAGCCTTTAGCTGGATAATTAGTTATTCCCAACAAACCCACTTCATAGTTCTTTTGCTTTTTGGGACTCATTGTTTCAGGTAACAAACTACAAAGTGCCCATATATGAAAATGTCTTGAAAGTGTGTACGCATGTTCTGTGAAGCTAAGCTGGAAATACAAGTGACTGCCATCATTCAATATAAACGATCATGAAAATCGTAGGCATGGTGAAAACGGCATCCTGGAACGGTCTAGACCGGTGGTTCTCACCCTTCCTAATACTTGCGACTCTTTAATACAGTTCCTCATATGGTCCTGACCATCAATCCTAAAGTTATTTTCATTGCTACTTCATAACTGTGATTTTGCTACTGTTATGGATTGTAACTGGACATCCATATCCAGTTTTCCAATCTTCTTAGGTGACCCCTGTGAAAGGGTCATTTGATCCTCAAAGGGGTCGTGACCCATGGGTTGAGGACTGCTGGTCTAGACCAAAGGTGGTAAACTTGTTCTGTAAAGAACTAGATTTTAAATGGTTCATGCTTTGTAGTGTGTATGATTTCCTTTGCAATGATTCAACCCTGTCATTGTCAAGTGGAAACCACTGAGTGTATATTATATCTATATTTACAGTATTTATGTATATCAGATACAATGATTAATTGTGTTGCAATGAAATCTGGTTTATTGTCCTCACAGTCCTTGTATTTTGCCTAAAGAGTTGTTCACTCAGAATTTTAATTTTAAAGATGACTCACGAAACATTAATGTGTCAACCTTTTGAATGAGAGTAAGGATCGTTAGAACTGATTCTTCTATTCTGCATATAGCTTGATTTTGTAAAACTGAAATAAAAAGAGATTTGCTGTGATCATGAATACTACCTCTAACTAGGAAAGAATTTACCCATGCCTATCTCCTTTGGTTGCAGGGACCTCATGAAAGCTCAGCAAATCCAGACCCCTCAGAGAATCATCTACCATGGTGACCCTGGGACCCTTGGGGCCCACGAAGACTCCATAAACACACAACTCCTGGCGGGAAGGATGAGCGAGGAGGCCTAGAGGTTCACCTGTGTGAAATCCTCGTTATAAGCGCTCACTTGTCACCAGCCAGCCTTCTGAGACTCACAGGACGCAGCAATGAACCAGCTCGAATGCACGAAGAGTTAAAAAAAACCATCAAATGTAGCATCTACAGGAAGGTCACAAAGCTTCTGGGGTTGCTTAGTAATGGTCTCACATCTTCCCTATTGTTGTATTTGTAGTGCTATTTACAGAGGGCTTCTGGTGAATAATGAGAAAGCATGCCTCACAATTGAAAGAGGAGCAGAAGAAACACACTATTTTGGCCTATGCATCAAGAAGCTGTCTTGACTTATTCTGTACTGAGATCCAGGGAACTTTCTCTGTACAAAAAAAAAAAAAAAAAAAAAAAAAAAAAAAGGAATAAACTACGCTTTAAGTACCGGCTCCCAGTATTCCAGCTGTGCTTCGCAAGTCTTCTCCACTCCTACAACTGCCAGCCCCTTTGAGCAGGGAGTTTGTCTAGTATAATTTCTGGATGGACACAATCTCTTATCCGATTTTGTGTTATTAAATAAAAGGCTATGGATTGTTATGTGAAACAGTGAAGTAAGACTATGATGGAGTATGTGGGCAGTTCCTGAGCTGGTTATTAACTTCGGAAACAACATCAGCAGAGGCAGAGGGCCCAAGGGAAGTTAGATGTACCTGCCTCCCTGAGTCCTAGTTTCTTGTAACTGTTCCCTGTGCTCAAGTCTCTTGTTGCTTTTGAGTTTTGGAACATTGTCTCCAGGTACTCTTGTTTTTTGTTTTTGTTTTTTTTTTTTTTAATCAGAATTTGTCTTTGTTTCCTGTGCTTTTAACATATTTTAGGGGGCTGGAGAATAGTTCAGTTGTTAAGAGCTCTATTTGCTGGGTTCAATTCCCAACACCCACGTGGAAGCTCACAATTGTCTATATCTCAAGTCCCAAGGAACATAACACACACACGGTGTACAGACACACATGTAGGCAAAATACACCTTCACATAAAATAAAAATATAGGTTAACATATTTTAATCAATTTCTTTCCCTCTGTGTGGATTTAGAGAAACAGAGCAATTGTGAATAAAGATTTTTATCTTGTTCAAAGACAAACACGGGTAAAGCCTTCTCCTATGTACAAAGAATGCGAACTTTTAGAATTTCTTACAATTAAGAGAATGTAGATCAGTAGTAACATGTCTTTGTGTCAACATCAACATGAAACCAACTGGACAGGTAAAAAGTCAATAATGGCTATAAGATATAGGCCAAAAATATATTCTTTTTTGCAATATTGATGAAGGCAACCTGTTAAAAATTAAAATTAAGAATATGTCCTTACTGACTGCAAAGCATTTCTAATGTTGTTTTCAAAAGGCTTTGAAATATGTGCTACTTTAATTAGCTTATGAGGAAGACTATAGTCATTTCACAGTCATTAGGAGGCTTTATATAAGAACATGGTCTAAAAGTGAGAACTTGGTTAGACTTTCCAAAGGCTTTTGTTGTCATTGTTCATAATTTGCACGAACTTCCTGTTTCTAACACTGTTTATGGAAAAATAGTGCCACCCAGAGAGACAGAGAGAGAGAGAGAGAGAGAGAGAGAGAGAGAGAGAGAGAGAGAGAGAGAGAGAGAGAGAGAGAGAGCAAAGATCACACAGTACTCTGCACTCCTGGGCATGGATAATATACTTTCCTTCTTCAGCCAGTTTTGCAGGATTTGAAATCTGTAGTTTACTACTATTAGGAATTAAACTTGAATAAAGCTCTGGTGTCATGATGAGTCATCACATTTCACTGGGAAGGCTGTGTGTAGTAAGGATGAACTACTGTCTTAGTTACTGTTGTGCTGCTGTGAAGACACAGCATAGCCAAGGCAGCTCTTTTAACTTTTTTAAGCATTTGATTAAGGGCTTGCTTATAGTTTTTGAGGGTTAGTCCACTATCATTGTGGTGGGAAGCTGGTGGGCAAGGGCCTTGAAGCAGTAGCTGGGAGATTTGCATTCTGTTCTGTAGGCAGCAGACAGGAAGCCTGTGTAGGTTTTGAAACCTCAAAGCCCATCCCCAGTGACACATTCCAAGAAAGCCACACCTCCAATCCTTCTAATCCTTTCCAAACAGCTCAACTCCCAGGTAACTAAACATTCAAATAAGTCTATGGGGCCGTTCTCACTCAAACCCCCTTTGCCCCTCTGTCCCTCTCTCGCTATGGGAAGGGCCCCAGGTTCCCCTAAAACGGCACTGGAGCAAATTATAGACTCTTCTACCTCTAACAAAGCATTTGAGTCGTGTTTCTTTTTCAGTTTAGTTAACTGTTTAAACTTCCTCAACATTTTGGTAGATTTTGAATGTTCCTGAACTCATATTTCCTCATTCCTTCCTGAGACTTGAACTGTGTATTCCTAGCAGGGTCTTTGCCTTCTTACCAACGGGGTGAGGCGCCTTCACGGCGCACACACGGGGAGAGGAAATGGGTGACAGTTCTGAAAGTGTGTGTGTGGGGACGGGGGTGCACTTCAAATGCTGAGGCTGCTGACAGCTGAGCAAAGCTGAGGCGCTTTGAGGCTGCATTGAGAAGGCTCCATTCGCAGGGAATGCTTCAGTCATAGCTCCTCCCCGAGACTGTGCAATTATACATATAATACATTTCTTCTGTCAAAAAGAGAGAGAAAACCGAAGGAGCAGCGCTTGCAACTTTTTCCAGCCAACCATTAAAGAGAGCGTGTTGGTTTCTTTCTGAGAGAAAAACAACGCGCAGCCAAGACTCCCATTCAGGCGTTATTTATAAAAACTTAAGAGTCTGCCCGAGTACCCTCAATTTGCAGGGAAATGCCTATATTTTTCTTTAAACAACCCTCTCTACATTCTTCACATAGAACAAAGTGTGTGCAACCTGGAAAAAGAGTTAAGATGTAGCCCGAAGTATTCAAGTTAGGCACCATTAAAACAAAGCTTGCAAGATGGGTAGGGAATTTCACTCTGGAGGCAAAGGTGAGTTTCGGTTTTCCTCTGCCTTGTCCACGAAGCAGAAACAAGGTCTTAGAGAGGGAACCATTGGAAGGCACTGAAGTAATGTGGTAGATGGGAGGTGTTACTGTCAACAGCAGTGCAAGGCTCCAATACAGTACGTCATTATTTCAGGAAATCAACCTTGTAATGGTGTAAATGCAGGGGTCAAACATCTATAAACAGACTCCAGAGCAGGTTAAATTGTAAGTTGAAAACCTTGTTAAATAGGTCAGATTTTTCTTTTTTAGTTCTTAAAATGGCAAATGTTTTAGTTAGGTTTTTTTTTTTTTTTTCCCCGAATCAGGGTTTCTGTGTATTGTCTTGGAGCCTGTCCTGGAACTCCCTCTGTAGATCTGGCGGGCCTCAAACTCACAGAGATCCACCTGCCTCTGCCTCCCGAGTGCTGGGATTAAAGGCCCACACTAGTTAGGGTTTCTATTGCTGGGAAGAGATACCATAACCATTGCAACTCTTATAGGAGAAAGACATTTAATTGTGGTGTCTTACGTTTTCAGAAGTTGAGTCCATTATCACCGTGGTGGGACATGGTGGTGTGCAGGTAGACATGGGGCTGGAGAAGCAGCCAAGTGTCCTACATTATGACTCGCAGGCAAGAGGAGGTGGTCTGTATCTTCAGCACAGGAGACCTCAAGGCCCACCCTCACAGTGACACACTTCCTCCAACAAGGCCACATCTCCTAACAGCGCCACTCCTTTTGGGGGCCATTTTCTTTAACCCACCACAGCAAGAATGAACCTGGGGAGGCAATATGTGTGCCTTTTCAACCCGTGGGACTCAGGACATGTGTTATAACCCTAGGGACTGGATTGGGGTAAAAAATACAGTGTTTCAAGGAATGGAAGAAATTAAGCAATCCAGATAAGATGGTGTCTCAATTCAGTATTTTGAAAATGTTAAAAGTTTTACTATGAACAAATATCGAAGGCAAGCTCAAATAAGCTTAAGTTAATTGAAATTATTTAAGATTGTCACTCGGTGCTGGATGTGGTGCCATGTAGTGGCGTCTTGTCTTGCCAGTGAACTTGAACTTGTAGTAGTGGCCACACCCTTTGGGTGTGGTTTCAGGTGCAGAGTGACCATTATAAGGTAGAGGAGGGGCTGGCTCACTCTCTCTCTCGGGTTTCAGAGAGCATCAGAAGGGGAGAAACTGCATTTTCTGGAGCAGGAAGGCTGCATCTGTGTAAGTGTTTTGCTACTAAATACCTATTTATCATTTATCTTGGGCCAATAGGGGCTAACATTAAGACTCTCTCTCCTCTTGCTTCCTTTCTTTTTTCCACCCCACCTAGAATTATTGCCAGTTATGGAATTGAAACACACATACAAAAAAAGTGCATTCTGAAAATACCAACCGGTTTCTTTTGTATTAAAGCTTGTAAGTAAAATCCTAATTACACGATGCTTTAAAGTAAAACGACGCTGTGAGTTTTAATTCTACTTTAAAATGTTTTGAAATTTCCTCAACTTTTAATTTTGTTTTTTTAAAGAAAAGTAAACAAAACCACGAAATATATAAGGGGCCACTTTCCTTGTGCCTCAGGCACAGTTCGGGAGCTGCATTTAATAACAATGTTAAATATTTTGCTCCTTACGTATTTTTTTTTTAAGATTAATTTTGGATTTTTGGCTTAACATAGTAACATATCCAGATCATCTAGGTTTTGGTTTTTCGAGAGACAGGGTTTCTCTGTGGCTTTGGAGCCTGTCCTGGACCTAGCTCTGTAGACCAGGCTGGCCTTGAACTCACAGAGATCCTCCTGCCTCTGCCTCTGCCTCCTAAATTCAGGGATTAAAGGCGTGCGCCACCGACGCCTAACTAGATTACCTAGTTTTCCAGAGCCCTTCAATTGTTTGTATTTATTTGTTTGTTTGTTTGTTTATTACCATTTTGGCTCGTTTGTTTAATTGTGCAGTCTTTTTCAGCTGCCGTGGCTTCTCCACGGGGTGAATGAACTGGGTGTTACTTCACTGACCTTGCTCCCTGTGTCAGGATCAAACTCTTTCAGTTCAGGGCTGGGAGGATGCGGTTCGGGGTCAGAGCTTGCTCAGCCCGCGTGCGGGCACTGCAGGGAGAAGAAGAAGAATGAGAAGAACCCTTCTTCTCACTCCCAATTTGTCCTAAACCCCTGAGGGCGGAGACCAATCAGAAAAAATAAAATAAAAAGGTCAAACACGCAGAAACAGAGCTCACCCCTGCGGCGGCGCTGGCCCACCCACTTCCACTTCCGCCCGGCACTTCCGAGCCCAAGGCTCACGTTTCCCTCGGCGCCGGCCGGCGGCTTTTCCACGGCGCGCACCGCGGGCTTCCTGTCTTGGCCCGCCTATCGCGAGCCTTGCGGGCTGCGCTCGCCGGAAGCGACGCTGTCCGGGGCCGCGGTCGGCTGCTGCGCGTCCGGTGAGCGGCGGGGAGGGAGGAGGTGCGGGCGCCGGGCCGTGTCCGCCGCGCAGGCGGCTGCGGGCGCCGCTGCGGGGCCCGGCGGGGCGGGGCGGGGCGCACCCGGCGTTAGCGGGGACCCGGACCCCATTCCGCGCGGGTTCGAGCCCTGTGCTAGCGGTGTGTGTTGATCCCTCGCCGCGCCGCTTGCTGGAGACGGTTTGGGGGTTCAGGGTACCCGAGCGAATTAGCACAACTGTCTTAAGAGAACTTGTGTTTTAGATCTTAGCAGGCAGTGGATTGGACGCGAGAGTGACCGGGTTTATTATTATTGTTATTATTTTCCCCCTGCGGATTACTGGGCATTATTATTATTACTATTATTTTTCCCCCTGCGGATTACTGGGCATTATTATTATTATTATTATTACTACTACTACTATTATTATTCTCCCCCTGCGGATTACTGGGCATTACTATTATTATTACTATTTTCATTATTTTCCCCCTGCGGATTACTGGGCATTATTATTATTATTACTATTACTATTATTATTTCCCCCCTGCGGATTACCGGACTGTTAGTTGAGATCCCAGACCACAAAGACGTGGTTGCAGATCGGGTGCACCCGAAATGGCATGCATTTGGGAATCTAGGACCAGTGGACGTGTGCTCTGGAGGTATAACCACTGTAGGTTCAGTTTATCTTTTCTCTATTTTTTTCTCCCCCTCAGGAAAAGCCTAAAGGTTAGATTGTGAGAAAATCCGAAGTCATGTTTCGAAGACCTGTGTTCCAGGTAGTCATTTTTCTACACTACTGAGTGCTTGACTGTGTTTTCGTTGTCATTGGGTGTCCTGTTGCTTTTAGATCCACAGCAAAGGACGCTTAAGCCGACCCACCATCTCTTACATACGCGTTTGTGTAATGGGGAAGGTTCAGGGTGGATTTCTTTTTCTTTTTTCTTTTTGTTCTCACTGAATCAGGAGGATTTTAAAATGTATTCTCACATAGTATGGATCATTAATAAATGTTTGTTACTTGTGCTTAGATCAGCATGTGCGTTTATTTATTTATTTGAGATAGCATCCCACACACCGCAGGCTGCCTTGACCCACCGTTAGGCGGAGGGTGGCCGGCTGGCAGCTTCTGACCCTCCTGCCTCTGCTTTCCCAGTGCTGGCAGTCCAGGCATGCACCACCGTAACTGCCTTCTTTGTCATTTTCCATGTGGCTCTGGTGCCGTTTCTGACCTTCTGCCCCCTCTCCTCCCCATTCGCAACTCTCACCAGCCACAAATACCATTCTGCAATCTAGTTGGGTGTACTCTGCTCTGGCCAGCCCTCAGCAGGCCTGGATTACCATTTTCCCTCATTGTGGCGCTGGGTACCACGTTTGTAAATTCTAGTTAAGACTAAGAAGTCAAAAATCTTTTTTTTTTTTTTTTTTTTTTTTTTTTTTTTTTTTTTTTTGCTTTTTGAGATGGGGTTTCTCTGTGTAGCCTTAGCTGTCCTGGAACTCACTCTGTAGACCAGGCTGGCCTTGAACTCACAGAGATCTGCCTGCCTCTCTCCTGAGTGCTGGGATTGACGACATGCACCATCAACTCCCGCCATAAGTCAAATTCCTATAAGGTAGGGATGCTCTGACATCATGTCCATAGTTTAGGGTTAAATGGTAATGGGTTATTGTCTTAGCATATTAAGTGGTGCTGTGTTTTGGCTGTGAATATCCTTTTCGGGAATCACGACTTCATAGCCATACCTTTGAGCTATATATTCTGTTCACACTGCTTCCCTTTTCCTTTCCTCCTCTTTTGGTTTGTTTTGCTTTTCTTTGTTGTACTGAAAGGACGCAGTATTCCGCTGGACCAAGCTTACTGTAGAAGCTGCTGACCTTTTACAGAGCCCAAGACACTAGTGTTACCTACCATCTTTGCTCATTCTTAAAGGACACACTCCGGGAATGTCATTGAGATAGCCTAGTCCTTAGGAATCAGAAAGGTGTGCAGCAGGTACAAGGGATATACTGATTTGTTATCATTGGACCAATTTCTCATTGTGCACATTTGAGAGTGAGGGCTTAATGCGCTGATTGTATTCTAAATATTCTAATACTTGTTTCGTAATTGCTTTTTTAAAAAATGTAAATTAGAAATACGCTTTTACATGTCAATCCCAGTTCCCTCTCCCTCCTGTCCTCCCCTGCCCCCCCCCAACCCCATCTCACCCCCTCTCTGCTCCCCAGGGAGGGTGAGGCCTTCCATGGGGAGTCTTCAAAGTCTGTCATATCATTTGGAGCACGGCCTAGGCCCTCCCCCATGTGTCTAGGCTGAGAGAGTATCCATCCCTCTAAGTGGAATGGGCTCCCAAAGTCCATTCATATAGTAGGGATAGATCTGATCCACTACCAGAGGCCCCATAGGCTGCCCTGGCCTCCTAACTGACCCATGTTCAGGGGGTGTGGGTTGGTCCTATGCTGGTTTCCCAGCTATCAGTCTGGGGTCCATGAGCTCCCCTTTGTTCAGGTCAGCTGTCTCTGGGTTTCCCCAGCCTGGTCTTGACCCCTTTGCTCATCACTCCTCGCTCTCTGCTACTGGATTGCAGGAGTGATACTTGCTCTTATGTTTACTGAACTGGTCTATGGCTTACATTCCTTAGAAAGCACTGATGTCTTCGTAGTCTCCTTTCTACCCACTTTGCTTTGTTGTGCACCCTTTCCGGGAACGTGTAGGACTGCTGGTGAAATGCTGCGTGGGTACGAGTAGGTCTCCTGCTGGTGTGGCTCTTCCTACAGAGTTTAAAGCTGCATTGCTTGTCTGCTTTCCTTCTAGGTGTTCCATCAGTTTGTAAGACGTGAGTCCGAAGTGGCCAGCAGCTTGGTTCTTGAGAGATGTAAGTAATCATTCTAAGTTCACAGTGTCACTTACACCGCTCTGCCTCTGGTCTCAGAGAACTGTGGGCTGTGTTTAACAGTGCCACCCATGGTACCTTTGGCCATTTTACCCTGAGCCTCTGCTTGTGAGGTCCTAGTATAGCTAGAGCTTATAGCCCCGATGCCCTCTCCTGCTGCCTGAGCCCTGCTCAGCTGTGCCACACGGGGCCAGGACGCTTTCTCACAAATACTGCTTTCTTTTTGTAATGGGGATCCTCTTATATCTCAGATTTGTTCTTTTAGCTCAAGATAAGGAGGTTAAAATTTGTTTTCCAGGGCTGTTTTCTCTCTTCCTGTCCGACCTTTCTCCTTTCCCAGGCCTCCTTTATCTCCCCGTTTAACTTGTGGTCTTCTATAGCTCGAGTTTTTCATAACACAGAGACTGAAGCTGACACAGTGTCTGTCTCTGGATGTTTCTATCTGTCTCAGGCGTGGGATTATGCTGTGTGACTGTCCTGGCTGCTGTAATGAATAGACCAGGTGATTTAGCAGTGGACAGCTGTGTCTTAGCGCTTCGAGGGCCAGAAGGCAAGATGTGACTGCCGGCGTGGTTGGCCTGCAGTTTGAGGAAAGCTGTCCTCTCGCTCCTGTTTTTCTGTGGCGGTGGTGGCTTCTGGTGGGGTGTTCCGGTCTCTGTCTTCCCTAATTCGATCGTGGAGGCTTCCCCTTCATAACCTCATCTAACCCCAGTCAGCTGCGCGAGGCTCCGTCACACTGCAGGCCAGAGCGCTCAGGCCGGCAGGCGCTCAGTCTCTTTTCCTTTCCACTTTGCATTTCAGCCATGAACCGTGTTCAGTTACTTGGGCGAGTAGGTCAGGACCCTGTCATGAGGCAGGTGGAAGGAAAAAACCCGGTCACAATATTTTCCCTGGCAACAAATGAGATGTGGCGGTCAGGAGACAGCGAAGTGTACCAAATGGGTGAGTGTGGAAGGCTGCAGTTTCTGTCCTACCAGCAGTGAGTGGACGCCATTACTGCTCATCTGACTTTACAGATGTCACTTTTAGATAAAGCCGGCCTGCCTTAGTCCTGCTCTTTTCTTTCAGAAACTGTGAGCTTGCTTTTTCCCAGACATGTTCTGTGTTGCTGACGTTTGTGTCTGCTGCCATCTGTAGGTGACGTCAGTCAGAAGACAACGTGGCACAGGATCTCAGTGTTCCGACCAGGCCTCCGAGATGTGGCGTACCAGTATGTGAAAAAGGGGTGAGTTAGTTAGCAAGAGGACCTTTTGGATTGAACGGCGAGTGTTCTTTCCCCTAAGTACTGACGTCTAATGTGTTTACCCCTTGATGGGACGGTCAGGGAACGTCTCTGTGCTTTTAGCCTGCTCTTGTGCTAGGGCAAGCAGCATCTGCAGAAAGAGAACTGGGTGAGGCAGGGGTAGCTGGAGCCACTGCAGCTCGTGTCATCTCCAGCGCCTGTCTCTAGGAGGTCCTGTGCTACTGTGACCAGGGATCACCCAGACCACATCTGGCCTCCTAGAGAACCTGGGATATTCAATGTCTGATGTACCGGGTTATTATGGTAGTATTCACAGTACTTATTTTATATTTGATACTCTTTTTCAGACTTAGTAGTCCCCATTTGGAATTAGAAGTGTCTTTTCCAAACGCATAGAATGACAGAAAAATGTTTTTATGGATGCACATGTTATGTTTAGAAATGTACTTATTTGTGAATCTAAAATACTTAATGTGAACTAGTTTCAGTCAGCAGTGACTAGAATTTCAGTTTCTTTTCAGTTATTATATACCTTTTCTTCATGTGTGTATGAATACGTGAAGATACACATAAACACACAAGATACATGAAGGAAAATGTCAGCATTCAGTTTCACAGTTTCATTTATGATGTGTGTGTGTGAGACAGACAGAGGCAGAGATACACACACACACACACACACACACACACACACACACACACTGACTAGGAATTGAACTCAGGGCCTTGTATGTGTAGGAGACTGCTGTATCACAGAGTCACAGCTCCTGTACTTATAAAATTTTAAATCTGAGGTCTCACTGCGTTGCCCAGGCGGGCCTAAAACTTCTAACCTTTTGGTTTTATATTCCTGTATATTGGGTTACAGGAAGATACTATCCTACCCGAGTAACGTTGTCTTCTTTACTAGAATGTTCACTAATACGCTTGTGAAACTGGAGGCATGTTAGCGCAAGTGCCATTTTCTTCCTCCCGTGTTCCCGTGTCCTGACACTCTAGAAGTTGAAGGCAGAGTCAGTCTCCAGACTAAAGACTGCGTTTTCTTTCATCAGGGCTCGCATATTTGTGGAAGGGAAAGTGGATTATGGTGAATACATGGATAAAAACAACGTGAGGCGGCAAGCTACAACAATCATAGCTGGTAAGAAGGCTGTGCTAGATAGCATTTCCTGTTTGCCCTCGTTTGAAGCTCGCATGCTCCGAGCAGCTGGGGGGGGGGGGGGCGCTGTCAAGATTGCAGGAAGCTCACTCACCAGAGGAGTTTCTACAGACACTGTCTACATTCATATTTCTCCCTCTACTCTCCATATTTAATTCAGGAGGGACTTTGAGTAGAGTGTAAATTGGAGGTGCTCTTGCCTGGGGGAATTTAGTCTTCGTGTTCTTTGGAACCCTTGGCTTGTACAAGGGCAGGCATATGTCAAGGCTGTTGTAGAAATGTCATGTTAGGAACTTGTGATTTGTACAAAACTTTGAAACTGAAGGTACAACAACTTCCATTTGAAATTTAAAAACTTGTGTTGTCTTTAAACAAAATACAAAGTAACGTGGACTACATAAACATCAAGCTTGAGGAGATTGAAATACAGTATGGAGAGTTCACACTCCTGAAGGTTTTAGAGGGATTTTGAAAGCAATATAGCTGTTTATACATCCGTAAGTTAACATGAAATGTTCTTATAAAATTACATGTAGATTAATGAAGTTTTGAAACCTAAGTTCTTCATTAGTACTTGCTCAACATTTTAATATTAAAATGAAAATTAAATGTTATTAAAATACATCTCTTAATGAGGCATTTTTGTTCTTTAATAAGTTGCTGAAATTATGAGTAAAGCCTCAGTTTAGTTATTTTGTAGGTAGGACTGAAAAAATCTGACTGTAGTTTATTAGTGTTTATGAACTCCTGAGCGCTGTCATTGAGCGCTGTCATTGAAGGCTCATGTGACTTACGTGAGTAGAGAGCAGTGGTGTGGAGCGACCTTGGCATTCCGTCAGTTATCACTGATGGATGGATTGGCTCATGGGGCTGCTCTTTCTTGCCAAGGATCAGTTGGAAGGGGTATTGTCCTATTTATTTATAAATTTTATAAATCCATGAAAGAAATGCTTTTTCAAAAAATCAAAAACAGTAATACTCTATTTTACCCAATGCTGAGATTATTGTAGTATTGTTAAAGACTAGATGTCAGTGTATTCAACTTTTGTCGGGTTACTACAGCTTTCTCATAATCTGAACATTGTTGTTCAGATCTTTTTCTTTCCCTTGCTCCAGTGTGTATGTCTTAACCACTGTTCATATTGTAAATTATAAGTTGTTTTAAGCAGTAACCATATATTTCCCTAGTAGTGATCTTTTAAAACTCCATTTATGTTCCACTACAGGCCAGGTTTGTAGTTCACCTAGTATTGCAATGACTGATTGTTACAGACTAAGCCAGGGAGAGACGGTTCACATTGTTCAGTTTCTCTGTTTCTTGTCAGGGTTGTTACTGGTCTGCTCGGGTCTTGTCAGGGTTGTTACTGGTCTGCTCGGGTCTTGTCAGGGTTGTTACTGGTCTGCTCGGGTCTTGTCAGGGTTGTTACTGGTCTGCTCGGGTCTTGTCAGGGTTGTTACTGGTCTGCTCGGGTCTTGTCAGGGTTGTTACTGGTCTGCTCGGGTACCGGTGTATCTATGGCTCACAGTGAAGCTGAACAGCGCTCAGTTGAAGCTTGAAGAGAGAACCTATTTGATGTTTTTTCTGATTACATTTAACTTCTTTTAGTTTATTTTATATTAATATAATCTAAAAAGCAAATCCTATTTCTCATGTTGTAAGCACTAGAAAATACAGAGATTAATTTAAAAAGTTAAAACATGATTACCACCCTAAATTGTCCTTTCGTTGTTTGTTTGTTTTTCAGTCTTATCAACTCCTTCCATTTAACTTGATACTGTTTTTTAACCAGGGGTCATTACTTGAACTTTAAGACAAAAAACAAAACACACCACTAGATGGCATTCTTGGCTTTTGATAGTGATTTCCATTTTAATCCCTTCAAGTTACCATCCTGTACAGTCATGAAGTGATTGGTTAAATAACTACCTTTAGATAATTTTAAGGTTAGTGTTATCCAAGAAATGCTACTTAACCTCTTTATCTTTGCTTGTTTTCCCTAGTTTTCTTTGGAATAATCAGAGCAGTGCCCAATTTTTTCTTTTTTTATAAAAATGCTTTACTTTATAATACCGAAAACCTGTCCTAAAAGACAGTATATGAAATTCATTCTTAGAATTAAAAATAAATTTATTTTCTTAAACTCAAGTACGCTCGCCGTTGCCAAGTGGCCACAAGCAGACTGTTGCGCTTTGCCTCATGCCTGTAGTGTGTAGCCTGTGGAATGCCTTCGTTGCTCCTCTTGTTAGTAGATGTGCTTTCTTTCGTGTCTCAGTTCACCTTGCTTACAGGAAGTTATTGTTGGGAACCTCAGTGGTCTCATCCTATAATGAAGTCTGAATCATTGACAAACAGCTTCAGCCTGTTGTTTGTATTTATTTGCTTGTTTGTTTATCTTACGCCTCTCTTGTGTACTTCTCATGAACACAGCAAAAGTTGATTAATGTTTTTGAAGTTTTGTAATACCACTCAGGATGTCTGTGTTGGAGGGGAATTATCAAGTGAAATGAAGACAGCATTCTGAAAATAATTCTTACGCTTTGCTTTCTTTCCAGATAACATTATATTTCTGAGTGACCAGATAAAAGAAAAGGCATAGAACGGATGAGTCCTTGATCATTGTTTGGTATTGGTACAGCCTCCTTCCCAAATCATGTATAGTCTATAGTTTAAAGATAAAGATTAAAAAGTTTTATATAAAATGAGTGTGGTATTTTTCCTGACTGGTGTATCTTCTTTTGTGTGTGTGAAAGAAACCCTCTGTAGTTCTGGTCAGTTGTGGCTCTTACTAATTGCTTATTGTGTTAGTGGTTTCTCTACACAAGTGTACGTGGTATGGACTCTCAGTAATGAATGTGTGCTGTGTGTTTGGAAGGCCTTGGTTTGGGCTTCACACTTGCACAGTGGTCTTTCAGCCACGTGTTACCTTTTAGCCTCGTTTATCTGCAGTCTGACCCACAGCTGAACACACTTTACCCTGTAGACTGGATGGTTAGCTCTGACTCTGCTCTGTGTGCCTGCACCGGTCCTGGACTCACTCAGTAAACAGCCACAGACAGTGGCCCTGAACTAAAGGAGGTAAACTGCTTCGGGAGTAGCCCACCTTCACTCCTGTCTTGGTTTTGGTATTTTCACTGTAGTGTACACGAGACCTCTCTCAGCCCAGGGACCAGAGTGAAGTGTAAGTAGAGTTGTGTAGTTCCTCTTCAGTTACTGTAGTGTGTAGCCTCCTCTCTGTTATCCCCTTTGAAGTTGATTCCAGAACACTCCTGAGGGTGGAGATGAAGGGTACTCTCACGGTGCTGGAGATCAAACCTACAGTCTCAAGTTAGGCAGTCCCTCCCTCTCCACTGGGCCGCACCCACTTAAGGAACCCTTTAACACCTTTGATTTTTGCCTCCCTCGAGAGTCTGTGTACAGTTAATTCTATTGTAGGTTTACTGGTATCATGTAGCCATACTGTTGATGCTTCTTTTTTTAATTTGCTGCCTTGTTTTTGGACCTCAGGGTCTTACTTTACAAGTACCCATGTTCACTTTCTCTGCCTTAGGAGTTGTTTAAAAGAAAAATAAATAAATAAATAAAAGATGGTTTTTAGTAATAATTGTCAGAAGCAAGGCTATATAGTCAAAAATCCACACCCACTTCCCAGCTGAACATAAGTTACTAATTTCCTCTGCCTTCACTTGCTTTGTTTTTCTTGAGTAAAACAGGGGTGATCATACCTACCTCATAGGCCTGCTGGGAAGAGCAGAGTAAATATAATATGTGTGACTCATAATTGTAAGTGGAAAAATGTTCAGAACACTTGGCTGCTATTGTAGTTATTTGAAATCAGACATGTTATTTGTTACCAGAGGAAACAGCATGGCTAGACATCCAGAAACTATAAAAACTTTTAAATAGTGCGAAGTTAGATTTGAAAACCTGCAGAAAGCTTTGGCTGTGCAGAGCCTTTGAAGGCTTGAAAACAAGAGCAAGTTAAAGACAAGTAGGAAGAGCTCAGCGGAATGGAGTGATGGGTGGGGAAGGAACAGCCTAGAAGCAGCCAAGGAGCTCCAGTAGTCTGTTGACAGGGTGGGGGTGGTGAGCCACTCGAGGGGCTTACATCCCAATCAGTTACCCTTCCTCTTCCTCCCGTTTCCCCCGCCCCTTCCCCAACAATCTACTCTGTTCCTGTTCAAAAGGGCAGGCTTACCATGGCTGTTCCTTCCCCACCCATCACTCCATTTCGCTGAGCTCTTCCTACGAGTGTTCTGCACGTTTGGAGTGACAATATGCACAACTGAAATAAATAGCACGCCCCTGCTTTTGTGGTTAGGGATTGCCAGAAGGCCACGTGCAGAACCCATTTGGTGGAGCTTTCAGGGAAGTTCTTAGATGAACTGTTGGAAATGTGCCTTTGTATTTCTCTAGACTCTTATTCCTTGACCTTTTCTGTAATGGGAACGTGTTGGCTGAATCCCCAGGTGCCACCCAGAGCATGAAGAAATCTTCAGGGTAGAAGATGGAAGAAGCTCAGACTGATGACATAAAACCACTGGAGCATACCTGGACAGCCTGCCTTGGGATTCTTTGGGAGGAGCAAATAAACTGTGCGTGCGTGCGTGTGTGTGTGTGTCTGTGTGCGTGTGCGTGTGCGCGCATGCAGTTAAATATATTCCTTACAAATTCATAAATACCCACCTTTAATACAAATGGTCAAATCTTTGCTTTTTTTTTTTATTCTTACACTGCAAGTTGAAGCAAGAAAGACATCACTGGTCCCACAGGCTTTTCCATTTTAACTCAGAACACAATAAATTTGGGGAGGGAGTTGGGACATGAGAAATACACAAAACCTCAGCAGTCAGACTAAGCAGCTTTTCTGTTGTTTTGTTTTTGCCAAAGTAAGCTTTTGTTGCAGTCCCTACGGAGAAACCCAGTAGCCCCCCCTAAAGGAGCAGGTAGGCTAAGAATGAGCTGGGTGGTCATGATGCACACCTTTAATCCCAGCACTCAGAAGGCAGAGGCAGGACAATCAAGGCTACACAGAGAAACTCTTGTCTCTGGAAAAAAAAAAAAAAGAAGAAGTATTGTTTTTATACTTCCCTTGCAGAGGGCAGATTAGGGAACTGAGCAGGGAGGATTTCCTAAGTGTGGAGTAATTTGTTTCACATTGGTAAGGCCTCTGTCTGCTCAGGCAGCCAGAGCAAAGCATAGTCAGGTAGTGAGGAGAGCAGACATTCATTTCCTTTGAGCTTTGGGAGCTCGGGGCTTAGCAAGCTCAATTATCCGAAGGACCATCCTGGAGAAGAATCTTCCAGGCTTGTAGGTGACTGCTGTACTGCCGTGTTCACTTCACCCTTATTTAGTGTGCGTGCAGTGTCAGAGCCCTATCTTTTTGATCTCCTTAAAAACCTCACCTCCAAGTACTTTTCTGTGTGGTAATGTCACAAGGAGAGTAAGAAATACATGGATTTGAGGAGCAAGGTCTCACGCATTCCCTAGCATTGGACTTCCAGAAAGAAAACGACTCAGTAACATTTTTAAAATAGGAGCTAAAACAGGCAACCTCAGGACAAAGGGCCAGTGCTGACCAATCTTGCCATAAGTGAATACTATGTACCAAAGGTGGGTTTAAACGCTAAAATTTCCTTCCAAATGGAAAGATGAGCGTTCTAGCATCTTATTTGAACTAAGGCTCTAGCAAATACTGCTATCAGAGTGTTAAGATCATGTAGAGAAAGTGAGTCACAAATGCTGTGAATACAGGTAAAAGTTACAGGAAGTTAAGCCATACCCAAATGTCAAGTTCTAAACATCAGAGAAAGTTAATTTAGAAAAGACCCCAGGTAAGCATATCAGAAAAAAGTCTTCAATGAATGATCTATAAAGAGCTTTATAAAGCCTTATTGAAACACATTTAAAAAAAAAAAAAAGTGCACATCGTGTATATTGGAAACATGGCCATTGTTACAGTTGGAAAGAAATTTAAATCAATGTATAGAAATCCTTTGGGGGAATACGAGACTGACAAACAGGTGCCCAAGAATAGCTAGCTGACTCTTAGACAATGAGGTAGGGACAAGTTCTGCTAGTTACATGTTTTGCTCATGTATGTGTGTGGTTAGTGTGACAAATTGTTGATGTGGGTACAAAGCAAAGTAATGACATTGATCATGCTTCCGTGGAGACAATAGCCAGTAAAAGTGGTGTGTGGCATAGATAGATTACTCAACTCATGATGTCAGGAAAATTTGTATTTCGTGGTGGTGAAAAATTGAATCTTCATACTTTATGCAAAATTAATTTTTGGCTATTGAGATCTATTTGCAAAATTCAAAACTTGACAATATTTTCATGGGTTGAGATTAAGGAGTTTTTAATAAACAAGCTGATGTTAAGACCAGTGACATTGAACCTTATGATCTTAAGCCTCCTTCCAGTGTGGTAGACTTCTGGCATTTTCCTGTTTCTGTCTGTCCTCCTTGTAGAGAAACAAGACCCCTCACGTTCCGGGTATTTCTGTGCTTCCCTCAGGGACCACCCACACTTCCCTTCTGGGAGGTTCCCAACACCTCTTTCCTGTTTGTTTGTTTCTGTTAATGTGATAAAATACCCTGATAAAATACCTTAAGGGGGGAAAGGTTTATTTGGATATACTGTTCCAGTTCCAGAGGGAGCAGCAGGTCAGCCCATCAAATTATGTGAGAAGCAAAGAACAGAAAATGGGGTCAGGATGAAATCCCAGGGCCACCCCTAGTGACCGTAACTTCCTGTTGCTAGCTTCTACTTCCTAAGGGTTCCCTACGCTTCCCAAACAATGCCACCAGTGGGCCTCGCTATCAAACACAGGAGCCTATCAGCGAGCATTTAATCACGATGCCCATGTCCTCTGAAACTGAGTCTCAGCCCTCCGTATTCTTTGTGACCCAGATGTATTCCTCATTCTCATGACACTGGGCATCATTTGCATTTTAACAAAGAGCTGCTTTGTTAAGATCACAGAAGCGACATTCTGTGCCATCTGAAGAGGACAACCAGAGCAGATTCACAGGGCTGCAAGACAGACTAAACATGCAGTAAAGTTACAGGAGGAGGTACAGGTCAGGGGGAAAAAAATGGATGCGATACATGACCAGAACCAGGAGCAGGTTGGCCTGGATTCTGATCTGTTGGGGTTCACTGAAGAGGTGTTCCTGGTTCTGATTGTCATTGAGTTTATCCTTGGAAATCTGGTGAATAGTTTCATTGGGTTGGTCAATGGCAGCCGCTGGTTCAAGAGCAAGAAAATGTCTTTGTCTGACTTCATCCTCACCAGCTTGGCTCTCTCCAGGATCTTTCTGCTGTGGATAATCTTTATTGATGGCCTTATAATAGTGTTCTGTTACCACACCCATGACTCAGGGGTAATTATGCAAATTATTGATGTTTTGTGGACGTTTACAAACCACTACAGTGTTTGGCTTATCTCCTGTCTTGGTGTTTTCTACTGCCTGAAAATAGCCAGTTTCTCCCACCCCACATTCCTCTGGCTCAAATGGAGAGCTTCCAGGGTGGTCGTTGGGATGCTGTGGGGTGCGTTGCTCTTATCCTGTGTCTGTACCGTGTCTCTGATGAATGAATTTAAGATCTATTCTGTCCTCAGTGGAAGCAGAGGCTCGTCAAATATGACCGGATACTTAAGATTGAAGACAAGCGAATATAATCTGATGCATGTTCTTGGAAATCTGTGGAAGCTTCCTCCCTTAATTGTTTCCCTGGCTGCCAACTTTCTGCTCCTCCTTTCTCTGGGGAAGCACATACAGCAGATGCAGCAATACAGTATTGGCTCCAGAGATCAGAGTTCTGAGGCCCACAAAAGAGCCATCAGAGTCATCTTCTCCTTCCTCTTACTCTTCCTACTCTACTTCCTTTGCTTTCTGATTTTGTCGTTCAGCCGTTTCCTACCAGCAACTAAGGTTGCCAGGATAATCGGTGTAGTAATTACCATGTCCTATCTTGTTGGGGACTCATTTGTTCTTATTCTGTGTAACAACAAGCTGAAACAGACGCTTGTGGCAATCCTGCCATGCATGTGTGGCCACCCGAAGCCTGGATCTAAGGGTCCCTTTGCTTCATAGAAGACGAAGCCTGGGTGTTCTTAGGCCTGGTTTAGCACAACAGAGCCCTTCTGACGTCCCCATTTGTCAGTCTACACCATCAATAGGAGAGATGTTGCCTGCTTTGCTGATTCTACCTGGCTTAGAGGTGAATGCCACGCTTCTAAAGGCCTCTCTCTGTAGGTCAGCTGGACAGGTGCAAACACTGGGAAATGCCAGTGTAAGGTCACTCGCTGTGTAGACACGGAGATGTATTTTAATAACCATTAGCATGACCAGCCTGCATATTAGTTTTACCTTGGGTTTTATGTTGGCGTAGATAAAGTCCTGCTGTGGAGTTGAGACAGAGAACAAAGGCATTTGCTTCTCCATCGATGTGGGCTTCGATTCCGCTCCTGTCAACTTTCCATTTTTGTCCTTCGAATAATTATCTTTGTGCTTCCCCTTAACCTACAGTATGGGCGATAACATCATCCACAGATTAGCTGAAATTCATGAGACAACGTGTGCCAACATTTTAGCACAACATGCCCTGTAAAGTGCTGGGTTAATGTAGACCAACGAACCACGCAGCAGCAGCAGCCCTAAGGCAGCCCTTCCCACAAGCCCCGCGTGATTCTGCAAACAATAGCATGGAAATCAAGACCCCTGGATTCCGGGCTCCAGGCCATTCTTGTGTTTCATTGGCAGTTTACTAAAGTTAATTCAAAGTAATATTTTTGGTTTTTTGGACTGTGTAAAAGACCAAGCATTTTGGCCCTTCCTTTCCTTCATCCTGTTCTCCCTCCCCCCCCCCCGTTCCCCTTGCTCTTTCCAGGATGCATGCATGCTTTTAAAACTTATAGAATAAGTAGATGTATACATATTCATGTTTAATTAATATTATTTAAAAAGAATAGACATTTATTTGTTGTCATTAAGTCAATGAGAATATTGTTCAGTATCATAAAAAAAATTCTTTAACTTTGTGAATGTAGTCTGTTAGGACACATGACATTCCTGAATATGGATTTCTTTCTTTCTTTCTTTCTTTCTTTCTTTCTTTCTTTCTCTCTTTCTCTCTCTCTTTCTTTTTTTCTTACTTTTTAATTTAAAATTTAAACAAGGTTGTTTTACATGTCAATTCCAGTTCCCTCACCCTCCCATCCTCCCCTGTCACCCCCACCAAACCCCAGCCCATTCCCTTTCTGCTCCCCTGAATGGGGATTTCTAATGTGACCCTGCTTTTAACATCTGAGTACTTTGATGCCTAAGGGGACGTGTTGTGACCTCATAGATCTAAGCATAGATCCAAATTTATAAAGGAAACAGAAAGAGTGGATGTTTTTTGTAGGAGAACCCCAGAACAGATTATAGCACAACTTCTCCGTTTCTGATGAGCTCCCCTTATGAAAGCTTGTCTCAAGAGGGGATTGTTCCTTGAACTTACTCTATTAGATTCAGTAAATGGTCTCAGGTGTGAAGAGACAAAGGAGGGTCAGTGGTGTGGTCGGAATGCAGCTGGAGCAAAGGGGTGCAGTTTCAGCATATGGGGACACAGGAACTGGTCCAGACAGGCCAGGAGGGAAAGGAGTTGGGAAGAATTCGGCACCAGGAACCCCACAGCGCCTGTGGCTTCTATTGAGCAAAGCTGCTGTGGAACTGAAATAGTCTTGGGCTAGAGCACGCTGGGCTGGGTTTGACATTCTTGGGCTCCATCTACTCTCCCTGCTCTTGGAGGAACAGCTTCCAGATTCACTTGAGCTTGTCTGTGATTAGGCATTTCTAAGAAAATAAGAGTAGGAGTGAAGAAATAGTAATTTAATCCTTGAAAGATTTGCATTCTAGCAATAGCAGCTGTCTCTTAGAGCAAAAAGGGCTCATTTGCCGCTGTGGAAAACAAAAAGGAGACCTCCTTTCAGGCCGAATACGGTGCCTTCCTACGCATTTCAGTCACCAGCACTGCAAACACCGAATCTTCAGTGAGTGAAGATGCTTTGGAAATGGTATTTATTTGTGTTTGCTGCCTCCATTATTTTTAATTTTGTAGGAATCATTGCAAATCTGCTTATCATAGTGGTCATTTATAAGATTTGGGTGAAAAGTCACAGAATCTCCTCTTCAGACAGGATCTTGTTCGGCTTGGCCATCACTAGATTCCTGACTCTGGGCTTGTTTCTACTGAACACTGTCTACATTGCTACGAATGCTGTGAGGTCAGTGTACTTTTTCATGTTTTTTCTATTGTGTTGGAAGTTTCTGGACTCCAACAGTCTCTGGTTAGTGACCTTGCTGAACAGTCTGTATTGTGTGAAGATTACTAATTTCCAACATCCAGTGTTTCTTCTGTTAAAACGGACGATCTCTGCAAAGACCTCCAGCCTGCTGCTGGCATGTCTTCTGATTTCTGCCTTCACCACCCTCCTGTATCTTGTGCTCACACAGATATCACGTTTTCCTGAACAGGTAACTGGGAGCAATGGCACGGAATTTGACCTCAGTGAGGGCATCTTGACATTAGCAGCCTCCTTGGTCTTGAGCTCACTATTACAGTTTATGCTCAATGTGACTTTTGCTTCCTTGCTAATACATTCCTTGAGAAGACACATACAGAAGATGAAGAGGAACACTACCAGCTTTTGGAGTCCCCAGATGGAGGCTCACATGGGTGCCATGAGGCTGATGATCTGTTTCCTCCTGCTGTACATTCCGTATTCGATTGCTGCTCTGCTCTACCTTCCTTCCTATGCCAGGAGGAATATGAGAGTCCAGGCTGTTTGCATGATCATTACTGCTGCTTACCCTCCAGGACATTCTGTCCTCCTCATCATCACACATCATAAATTGAAAGCTAAAGCAAAGAAGATTTTCTGCTTCTACAAATAGTGCAATTTCATTGGTAAAGCTTGACGGCACCACCTCAGAGTTTGGTTTTGTGTTAGAATTTTCCCAGTGATTTAAGGACTTGATTTTGTCATCTTCTCTCTGGTATCCTGACCCTGCTTGTGTTTTAGCCAATCCTTCGTCTTTTGGCTAATATTTTAAAGTAAAGCACACTCCTTAAGGAATTGTATGAGGCCTTTGTGAATTTTGCATTGTCATTATATTCCTAGATGATGGAAATCATCATACTTCTGTCCCACTAGCTCTCAAAGTATAAAGGGACGCCCCTGAATGAAGGCCGCATTGTGGTGTACATGGTTAACACAAATTAGGGAATTTAACCAAGGACCCCAGGAGAAGATATCACTGACAGCTGTCGCTGAGTAGATTATTGGCTTGAAGTGTATCTAGGCAGCATAAGCAGGAAAGAGGAAGGAGGCTTCAGAGAAAGAGAAGAGGGAAAAGAATTAGGTGTGCATTTGTAGGGCATGGCAGATAAAGGATCCTGCTGCTGTTACTATCAAGAAACCCTAGCACTGAATTTCTAGGGTTGATCTAGAAAGGGCCAGAGTTGATTGAGTGACTGATAGAAAACAATTCAATTAAAACGGTTGGAACTCAAAAAAAAAAAAAAAAAAATCTATCTTAATATCTAGAGATGTAGGCCTAGGGCAAAAGCAAGTTCTATTCAGAGAGAGTAAAACTACCTGAGTGAAAGTTTACCCAGCACAGCACCCACACCCTGTGTTGCAGAGCTCAGAGGGAGGCCGAGGGCATCGAGCTGGTTGGTGGTGGAGTGCTGGATTGGGAGGACTTACCTCACCGGCTTCTACGTTGTTCAGTTGTCCAGGAGAATGCTGTTTGAGGGAATCTGATGATAGGTATTGACGAGTTATGAAGTGGGGATTGAGCATTCATTATTTACAATTACACAGTTAAAATAAAATGCTTATGTAATGTCTTTTACATCTCAAAATAAACTTTCCAAATGTATAAATCACCTGACCTTTGCTGTTCCTACCCACCACAGTCTTCCCTTCGATATTTAATAAATATTACCCAACCAGTATCAATGGTCTAGAACCTGGAGGCGTTAGTCATGTTACAATGTTAGTAGATAAAAGGGATGCTGACAAAGGAAATAAATCTGTGCCCCAAGAGCCAGTCATTAGTCTCCTCTTCTCTTTTTCACAGTGATCAAACTATGAGCTATCCAGAATTTATAATTTCCTCTTATAAGCTGGTGCTGTATTGCTCATAGACTATAAAGAGGTAATGTATGCAATTTCTAGAACCAGTCATTTCCTTCCTTTCCATTTCCCCTTTGTGACTTTTTTGTTTTTGCCCATGGGCTAAAATATTTACCTCTTCTGAAGGATGCATCTGAGGAAAACACTTGGAGCTGGTGGAGTTACTATCTACCTTTGAACTGGTGGCGTGCTTCATGACTTGTGAGTGCTGCTTCTCCATCTCTGAACTGTTTGTGCCTAAATTCTGGGATGGATAACAAGAAACAAACATCTCCATTGTTTGTTTTCATTAAAACGGGAACACTTTTATTCTATTACCTTGATGAAGTAACTTACCTTTAGCATATTTTCCTAGGTTTGTTTGTTTTGTTTTGCTTTGTTTTTCCAGAGAGGGGTTCTCTGTATTGCTTTGGAGCCTGTCCTGGAACTCGCTCTGTAGACCAGGCTGGTCTCGAACTCACAGAGATCCCCCTGCCTCTGCCTCCTGAGTGCTGGGATTAAAGGCGTGCACCACCAATGCCCGGCTAGCATATTTTCATACAATGACATGTCTTCATGTCTTTATGGTGAAATGGTATATAATTACTTACAATATTATAATCAAAATACATATATTATTTAAGTAAAACCAAAAGCACACAGATGCATTATATCTGTTTTTTTTTAAATATGTATATCTGAAGAAATGTTTTGCTGTGGTCCTCTATGACCTGTGGCTCTAACAATCTTTCTTTGTTATTTTTGATTTATTTATCATTTATACAGTGTTCTGCCTGCATGAATGCCTGCAGGCCAGAAGAGGGCACCAGACTTCATTACAGATGGTTGTGAGCCACCATATGGGTGCTGGGAATTGAACTCAGGACCTCTGGAAGAGCAGCCAGTGCTCTTACCCTCTGAGCCACCTCTCCAGCCTCTTTAAATCTTTCTGTCCCCTCCTCTGCAATGGTCTCTGAGCTTTGGCAGTGGGGTGTGACATAGATATCTCATTTGTGGTTGGGTACTCTCTGAACTTTGAACAGTTATGAGTGTTTGTATTAATCACTACATACTTCTCAAAGACACGTCTCTGATGTGGTCTGAGAGCTGTACCATTCTACAGGCAGAAAAGAGATTTAGGAGGCAGTTTGATACAATTTCTATTTAGCAAAATCATAGGAATAGATTTGTTCCTGGGGCCCCTGCCTCCACCATGATTCTTGGCTAGGTTCGCAGTAATTGTCATGTGTTTCCTATGGTGGAGTGGACCTTAAATCCTATGAGGGAGTGGTTGATTATATCCATAACATTCTTGCCACTATTTCATTCACAGGCATAACTTGCCACACTGGCCATTATTACACTTCACAGGGTTCACATCTGGGTAAGACTGTTCAGGACCCCCCCCCCCCACACACACACAACCCCAGCAGCCTTCATGGCACCTTCCAGTGACAAGAGAGTGTTTTAGGGTTTCTGTTGCTCTGAAGAGACACCATGACCATGGCAACTCTTATAAAGAAAAACGTTCAATTGGGGCTGGCTTACAGTTTAGAGGGTTAGTCTTTTATCTTCATGGTAGGAATCATGCTGGCATGGTACTGGAGAAGGAGCTGAGAGTCTTACATCTTGATTCACAGGCATCAGGAAGAGAGAGACGGTAAGCCACTAGGCCTGTCTTGAACTTCTGAGACCTCAAAAGCCCACATCCAGTGACACCTCCTCCAACAAGGTCACACCTCCTAATAGTGCCACTCCCTAGGGGGGGTCTATGTGGGGCCATTTCTTTCAAACTACCACAGAGAGAGAGAGAGAGACCACACACACACACACACACACACACACACACACACACACACACACAGAGCGCTATCCATCAGGAAGAAGGTTCCTAGGGAGTACCACATTGATTTCTCCATGTCCTAGGACTAATATGTGTAGTGTTTTCAGCAATATTGTCTTATTATAATGCTCTAGTGGTCAACCAAGAACAACAACAATAGTTTGTATTGTCACCTCTGTCCTACAAGTAGAGGAGAGATATCTCATACGGGCATTGGTGTTCTTATTTGCCAGTGTATGGTGGTTCCTGGGATGAGCACAGTCTTTACATATTAAGTTGTTCTGACATAGTCCTGCTGGCTGGTTTCTCGAGTAGCCTATATTATTTTCACTTTTCTCCCCACTTGATTGAGTTGGATGTGCAGTCTTTGTACGAACTGTCTTTTGAAGCCTGGAAAAAGTCTTGAGAGTTTGTTAAGCCCTTGTCCAAAGTCCTCACTGGAGATTTTTTTTTGCCTATAGCAAAACTCCAGTAGATCAAAGACATCAGCATAGCACCTGATACACTGGACTTGACAGAAGAGAAAGCAGGGAATGGCCTTGAACTTATTGGTGTAGAGGAAGGTGTCAGGAGTAGGTTTCTCCCTGTAGCCGGTCTGGTCCCCACCACCGCGCCAGCCCCAAATAACACACCGAGACTCTGTATTAAATATAATTTTGTTGACCAGTTATTAGTTTCTTATCGGCTAGCTCTGTCTTTATTATTAACCCATTTTTATTAATCTAAGTATTTTTATGTGGCCTTATCTTACCGGAGGGAGGGGCTGGTGTTCTGCTCTCTGTCTTCCATCTTGAATCTCCTCCCTACCACTTCCTCTCTCCTCCTAGTCTCCTAGTCCCGCCTATCTTGCTTTCCTATTGGCCAACAATGCTTTATTCATTAACCAATAAGAGAAACATACTTACAGAATGACATCTCCCATCAGGAAGGCTTCCTGAAAAGAAGACTGTTAACACAGGCCCTAAGATCAACAATTAATAAATGGGGCCTCATGAAACTGAAAAGTTTCTGCATAGCAAAGGATACTTCAGATGGACAAAGAGGCAGTCCACAGGATAGGAAAAGAATTTTTACCAATCATACACCCACTAGAGAGCCAACATCCAAAATATATAAAGAACTAGGACTCAGGGAATCCTGAAAGAATGTAAGAGCCAGAGGTGATGGAGGGCACCAAAATAGTGAGACCCTCTAAATCAACGTGACCAAAGCTCACACGAACTCACAGAGACTGAGGCGTAGGCCCTGCACAGGTCTGCACCAAATGGGATCCTAGAGCTGACAGGGGGAATGGACACATGACCCGTCCCTAATCCAGAATGATAACACTTGCAAATGAAAATGTAGCTTTCTTCAAGGGACCCTCACTGGGGTAGCAAACTACTTTTAAGGGTAGGCTGCATGCCCCGCAGTAGATGCCCAACAGAAAATGGACAAATAGCATCTTTGGGAGTTCCTTGACTTCTAATGTTGTTTCAGGGATCTTCCTATTTTTCCCCTAAAATTTTAAATGCTATAAGGAGTTCTAGAAGATTGGGAGATGGTTACGTGTATGTGTGTGTGTGTGTGTGTGTGTGTGTGTGTGTGTGTGTGTATCTATTATATATATAGTAATAAAAAATATATAGTGAATGAAATTCTCAAAGACTGAATAAAATATATATTATTATATATAATACCATAGGGAAACCTGATACATTACATCTCAATGAAAAGAGATGCTCCCTAGAATGTTTTTTTATATCATTATTTTGTATACATAAAATAAAAAAAAAACATAAAATATATAAAACACACACACACACACACACACACACACCCGGAGCATCACGGGAGAGGGGGTAAAGAGAATGTAAGCACTACAGGAAGGGATGGGATCTTTCAGGTGTGATCTAGCTACTGCACTCTGGAACTCAGTAGCTAGCTATCACTTCCTTCTCAGGACCGATT